ATTAAGCAACTCACAACGAGACACGCTGCGCGCTTTCGGCAGAGAACCGAAAGTAAATACTCAGACGGGTCAACAGGAGTAGTGGTCCTGTTTTTCCCTTTTCAGGCCCATGAGCTCCAAACAATTGAGCTCTCCAGATCCCTGGCATGTCTGCCAGGGTGGCGGGGGAGAAGTCTGGGCTCGTCAGCCCCTTCTCAAGCCGCCCTAGTTACTGAATGACTATGTAGCCAACCTGCTCGGAGACAGATCAACATACATACATATAACAAAGAACAAAGCAGACAGGGTGCCGGCTAGCTTACCTCCCGGTGGCACTGGTGGTTCTGGGGCAGAAATCTCGGTGGAACCTCCAATGAAAAACCTCAGCATCAAAGCGCCGGGCACTGAACCGAACCGTCTGCCCAAGAACCGGGGCCAGACCACTGGCTGCAAATGCAAGAGGTGATTTATTGAGTACACAGGCGCCTGCGGATGCTATTGCAACTCGGGTGCAGAGCATACCGGGCTTTCAGGGAGTACAATATTTATAGAGTTTCAATGTTTACATAAGTAACAGGCATTTCATTGGCTCATCTTGGGGGCAGGGGTAGTTCCCACGGACTAAGTTTCCTGGTATTACTTTATGAAAGACCCAGGCATACTTCAGCAATTATTATCCTGGTCCCATGACTACTATGGTGATCATAGACACAACTGGGGGCAAGGGTAGTTGCCAAGGACTATGTGTCCTGGTATTGCCATATGAAAGTTCCCAGCACGCTTCAGTAATTATTATCCGGGTCCCATGATTGCTATAGTGATCACAGACATCCTGTTTTGAGGGTGAGACACCTGGTCTGGGTTTCTTTCATTAGGCAACGGCCTGGCCTTGCTTTTCTTTTCCTAGGGGGTCCTGGGTAGGGGTCTTTCAAGTGAAGCAATAGTGGTCAGCTCATCATCATTGGAGTAATTCAGCCTCCTGGTTACCTACCCTTCAGAACCCAACCAGCTCTGCAATTCCACAACTGTCCCTCCTCCTCCTCCTCTTTCTCTCTTTTTAGAGAAATGTATTTTTATTTATCTATTTATTTTTAACGATTTATTCTCATTATCTATTTATTGGTTGGCTTTCCGAGACAGGGTTTCTCTGTTAACAGCTCTGGCTGTCCTGAAACTAGCTTTGCAGACCGAGCTGGCCTCAAACTCAGAGGTCGACCTGTCTCTGCCTCCCGAGTGCTGGGATTAGAGGCATGCACCACCACACTCACCCATCAACAATTATTATTATTTTTATTATTATTTTTGTTTTTGTTTTTTCGAGACAGGGTTTCTCTGTGGCTTTGCAGGCTGTCCTTGAACTCGCTTGGTAGTCCAGGCTGGTCTCGAACTCACAGAGATCCGCCTGCCTCTGCCTCCCGAGTGTGCACCACCAACGCCCGCCTTATTATTATTATTATTTTGGTTTTTTGAGACAGGGTTTCTCGGTATTGTTTTGGAGGCTGTTCTGAAACTAACTCTGTAGACCAGGCTGGCCTTGAACTTACAGAGATCCGCCTGCCTCTGCCTCCCGAGTGCTGGGATTAAAGGTGTGCACCACCAACGCCCGGCTCAACAATTATTTTTAACATATACTTTCTTCATTCATTTTGGTTTACGTTAATTATCTTGGTTAGTACATCTGGACCACGATCAAGACCATGGAAATCAGCCGGGCGTTGGTGGCACACGCCTTTAATCCCAGCACTCGGGAGGCAGAGGCTGGTGGATCTCTGTGAGTTTGAGGCCAGCCTGGTCTACAGAGCGAGTTCCAGGACAGCCTCCAAAGCCACAGAGAAACCCTGCTCAAAAAACCAAAAAAAAAACAAAAACAAAAACAAAAAAAAACATGGAAATCTCCAGCGTGCTGCCAAGGCAGACGTTATTATTGGTGGGGAGAGGGCTGCGAACTGTCTGAGCAAACACAAAATAGAGTCCTGACATGGTGGTGACCACTTCAATAGTGAGTTCCAGTGCAGTCAGAGCTGTGAAGACACTCTCAGCCGCTCTCAGTCGCTCCTGTTGTTGTTGTTTTCTATGTAGCTTTGGCTGTCCGGGAACTAGCAGTGTGCCACCACGGCCAGGCTTTATTTTTGTTCGTTTCAATCTGTACATGGGCCTGTGCATGTCACTGCAGAGGCTAGAGGTGCTGGAGTCCTTGGAGCTGAAGTTATAGGAGGTTCTGAGCTGCTTGTTGTGGGTGCTGGAATTGAATCCGGGTCCTCTGGAAGAGCAGTGTGTTCTCTTAGCCACTGAGACACCTCTCCTGCCCTATTGATTTATTTATTTTTAATATGTATGTGTGTGCCTGCTTGTCTGTATGTGTACATGTGTGCCTTGTCCGCAGAGGCCAGAGGAGGCCAACTGGTTTTGGGGTTGTAGGCAGCTGTGAGTCAGTCGATGTAGGTAATGGGAGCCAGACTCTGGTCCTCTGTAAGGGCTCTTAACTTGAGCCAGCTCTCTAAGCCTTTCTGTTAGCTTTTAAACCTGGAACAAATGGTTAACTAAGGTGCCTATATAACATATCAAAGAGAACTCTGGCTGCCAGTCTGCCTCAGTCCCTACCTGTTAAAGGATCCTCCTGGCTGGCATGCCCTGTTCCTTACCCTGAACTCTCCAACCTAGCTTCTCTGATTCCTATATAATCCAGCCATTTTAGCCACACAGGTGGTCTCTTTGCCTCTTGGCTTCGGGCTAGTCCCACTCCCATCCCCTTTCTTCTTCCCACACAGTTTAGTCTACTGAGCATGCCCAGGCTACGATCTCCCAGATGCCTCTGCTCTCCCTCACATCTACAATATCTCTCCTGGCCCACCCAAGCTTGCTGCGTTATGCCCTCATTTCATTTTTTCCATTCCCATTCTTCTTGAGATAGTCTCACATTGCCTCAGACTTCTTGTTGAACCAAGCATGACCTTGAACTCCTGATCTTCTTGCCTTTGTCTCCTGTGCTGGAATAACGGAACTTCGCCCAGCTGGTTTTGCAGCAAGTCCCATGAGATTTCTGCATCTAATCTAACCTTGACTCAGACTGATGATGCAAATCTCCACTCTATCAATCACTAGTTTCATAACTTTTACAACCCCTAAGGTAGAGTTTGACCTCTACACTCACTTCACCCTGAGAATTTCCTTTCCTGTCAGCTATCAGTCTGGAATGATGCCTTTTTCTAACTCAAGAAGTCAAACAGGGTTTCCCTATGTAGCTTTTTTTTTTTTTTTTTTTGGTTTTTCGAGACAGGGTTTCTCTGTGGCTTTGGAGGCTGTCCTGGAACTTGCTTGGTAATCCAGGCTGGTCTCTAACTCACAGAGATCCGCCTGCCTCTGCCTCCCGAGTGCTGGGATTAGGATTAAAGGCTGCGCCACCAATGCCCGGCTTTTTTTTTTTTTTTTTTTTTTTTTTTGAGACAGGGTTTCTCTGTGGCTTTGGAGGCTGTCCTGGAACTAGCTTTTGTAGACCAGGCTGGCCTCGAACTCACAGAGATCCGCCTGCCTCTGCCCCCCCCCCCCCATTGCTGGGATTAAAGGCGTGCACCACTAATGCCCGGCTTTTGTTTTTTATTTTTATTTATTTTTAGGGTTTCTTTGTGTAGCCCTGGCTGTCCTAGAACTCCCTCCCCTCTGTAAACCACACTTGCCTAAAAGTTAAAGAAATCCATCTGCCTCTGCCTCCCCAAATGTTGGGATTAAAGGCGTGTGCCACCACCATGGTCGTGTTCCACTTTTTTTTTTTTTTTTTTTTTTTTGGTTTTACGAGACAGGGTTTCTCTGTATCGTTTTGGAGGCTGTCGGTCCAGCCTGGCCTTGAACTCACAGAGATCCGCCTGCCTCTGCCTCCCGCGTGCTGGGATTAAAGGCGTGTGCCACCACTGTCCGGCCACGTTCCACTTTTTAATGGTGCCTGTAAGAGTTCTTCAGGAAAGTCTTCCCTCAAGGTTCTGCACCTCCCTACCTCTAAGGCCAAGGGTGTGTGTGTGTCTGTGTGTGTATACAAAGTCATCCCTTGTGCTGTAGACTTATCTAAAAGCTCCATCTAGCTCCAGCCTCACAAGTGTTATTACAGTTCTGACTCACCACACCTTGAAAAGAAGATCTTTCAGCCGGGCATTGGTGGCGCACGCCTTTAATCCCAGCACTCGAGAGGCAGAGGCAGGCGGATCTCTGTGAGTTCGAGGCCAGCCTGGTCTACAGAACGAGTTCCAGGACAGCCTCCAAAGCCACAGAGAAACCCAGTCTCGAAAAACCAAAAAAAAAAAAAAAAGATCTTTTTATTTTCAACCCAAAACTCAACCACAAGGACCAAATCTTGCCTTCCTTCATTAAATTAGCTAATGACTTCAGTTCAAAGTTACTGGGGTGGGGGTGGGGGCAGAGCAGATTAGGTAGGAATTTAGTGCTTGGATCCCTCCAGGGCTTTTCCATGTTTAAAGTCCTGGAATGTCCTTTCTTTACAGGTTCAGTTACAAAACATTGAGAAGGCTTTAGCCTTTAGGTCTAAAGGGAGGGAATTGCCAAAAGGAAGTTGTTTCACACCTGGAAGCTAGGGTGTACTCTCCAAACACAATTAAGAGGTCAAAGTACGGTCGGACAAATCAGGAGACAGCCTAAAGAACCCGCCCCGGACCTGCGCGTGCGCCTTAACACACTCTGTGGCTCAAGACTGAGCGTCCCACTTCTTTTTTTTTTTTTGGTTTTTTGAGACAGGGTTTCTCTGTGGCTTTGGAGGTTGTCCTGGAACTCGTTTGGCAGTCCAGGCTGGTCTCGAACTCACAGAGATCCACCTGCCTCTGCCTCCCGAGTGCTGGGATTAAAGGCGTGCGCCACCAACGCCCGGCCGAGCGTCCCACTTCTAAGACTACAAATCCCAGCATGTCTCGCACTCCGCGAGTGGTATAACGCAGTGCACGCTGGGATATGTAGTTCCGTTCCAGCACCGGCAAAGCATATAACGCCCCGTGACGTCAGAGGGCTCGGGGAAAGGAGTCGGAATCCGCCCAAGCTCAAGTTAAATCATCCTCCAGGGAGCCCACTCTGGAGTCTCTGGCTGACCCGGTTTCTACTGTTAGCAGGTCCCACCCCGCTGTCCCGGTGGCCCTATGGTGTGCGTTGAGTACTCTTTTGCGTGACTTAGTCACTGTTACAGGGGAAGTAGCGAGAGCAAGGACAGGCGCCGACTCGTCAGAGTAGCGGACGGGGGCAAGCGTGGTTGCCTTCGCCATGGCATAAAAGACGTGGCAAGTTGCCTTTGGGCAGCTGCTTTGCTTTCTTCCGCCCGTCGCCTTATAGGTCCTCTCGGCGCAGGGACTGATGGGAGCACGCATGCGCAGGCTGTTGAGGGGCTTACACCTCCAACGTCCGCAGCAGGCTCGGGGGCTGTCGGGTATCGGCGGCGGCGCTTTGCGGCTGGTCGTGCAGGCTGGGCGCGGGCGGGCGCGGCGGCTGTGGCGCGCGCGCGGGTGATTGACTGGTCCTCTGGCTAAGAGGAGCGCTTGGTTCTTTTGGCTGGCAGGTGCCGGAGCTCGTTCGGGCGCAGGCGGAGGCGGCGCCGGAGGCCGCCCGGCTCCGCAAGCGCTTTTTCGGTCAAGGCCATGGCTCCCCGATTGCAGCTGGAGAAGGCGGCCTGGCGCTGGGCGGAGACGGTGAGGCCCGAGGAGGTGTCGCAGGAACACATCGAGACCGCCTACCGCATCTGGCTGGAGCCCTGTATCCGAGGCGTCTGCAGGTGAGGCTCTCACGTGGCCGAGGCGTAATGGGTGACGGACCACGGAGGTGCACGGTGCACGGTGCAGGTGCCTCGCCTCTTGGTTTGCACAACCCGAACTACGCAGCCCCTGGAGTGATGCTGGTCTCTCATCCAGAAGATGGCGGTGGGGATGGTTGGAGATAGGGCTTAGTAAACACCGGAGGGTTCGTCGCTTTTGGCTGCAGCTGTGCCTTTTTCATTTGTAAAAGAGGAACTTTCCGGCTGCGAACTAAGTTGTCTTCTGTCACTGAACACTGAGAAGTCCCGATGGCCTAGGTATTATTTGCAGAGAGCAGCTTTAGAAAAACCTTTGGTTAACTTACGTCATCGGCCCCCTACTCTCATTGGCCGTCTCTTTTTGATCTTGTTTCTTTTTCTTTTGGTCACCCTAACTCCACAGCACTTTACAGAGTAATACTGCAAATTCTTTTTGCTTGGTTCTTGAACCTTACCTTTTCTCGACCTTCTCCGTTTAAGTTGAATCCTTAGCGGTAGAGTGATTTTCTCTTTTCCACCTTGTAAACTGGTCCGGTGTGTTGAATCGAATTGATTGAGCTAGGATTGAGCTAGGCATGCATGCGCAGTAGCTCCGTTGATTAGGGAGATCTGGAAGATGGGAAAGCCTTGGTTCATGGTCTCGGAGCTGCCTCATTTGAGATATAATGCAAGTTTGAAGTTTCCATAAGTAGAGTAGGTGTGTCGTTCTGCTCTCCAGGTTTTGCTCATAAGGACAGCTTGGACTCCTTTTAAAGTTCTGGAACGATCAATCTGTGTGTTATGGAATTTAAGCAGCTTGACTGAGGGACTCGATTCTCATTTGAAACGTATAGTTAAAGTGCTGGAGATTTAGCTTGGGGTTAGAGTGGCTGTTTTGTACGCTTGAGGTCCTTGTTCCAATTCCCTACCTAGCAATAGGAGCTCAGTTTGGACTGGGCGCTGATGGTGCGCGCCTATCACTCTACTCTGGAGGCAGAGACAGGAGGATCATTGTGAGTTCGAAGCCGGCCTGGTCTACAGAGCGAGTTCCAGGACAGGTTCCAAAGCTAAATAAAAATAAAATTAAAAAAAGAGTTTAGCCTGGGACTGGAGGTATGGCTAATTGGTTAAGAGGACTCAGACTCCCCACCTTCAAAGGACCACAGCATCATTTGTTCCCAAAACATCAGGTGGTTTTAAACCACCTGTAACTCCAGCTCCAGGGCAAGCAAAGCCATCTCAGCATCAATACTGTGAGCACCTGTGCATCACACACACACACACACACACACACACACACACACACACACACACACACACACAAACTTGGACACATAAATGATCCTTTTTGAAAGCTATAGGAAATCTAGTAGAATACATTGTATCTAGGTGGTTTTTTTTTCTTCTTTCTATTTTTGTAGAGCAGGAGACTTTATTTTGTATGTTTGAGGATTTTTTTTTTGGTTTTTCGAGACAGGGTTTCTCTGTATTGTTTTGGAGACTGTCCTGGCACTCGCTCTGTAGACCAGGCTGGCCTCGAACTCATAGAGATCCGCCTGCCTCTGCCTCCCGAGTGCTGGGATTAAAGGCGTGTGCCACCAACACCCGGCGTTTGAGGATTTTTTTTAACTTATTTATTTTTGTTTTTTCGAGACAGGGTTTCTCTGTGGCTTTGGAAGCTGTACTGGAACTAGCTCTTGTAGACCAGGCTGGCCTCGAACTCACAGAGATCCGCCTGCCTCTGCCTCCCCAGTGCTGGGATTAAAGGCGTGCGCCACCACCACACCCAGTATGCTTGGCTTTGTTGTTATTATTATTATTACTATTATTTTTACAGGCTTTTAAAAAATATGTATATAGTGTTCTGCCTGCATGTATCCCTGCATGCCAGAAGAGGGCACCAGATCTTATTACAGATAGTTGTGAGACACCATGTAGTTGGTGGGAGTTGTCTAACTCTGTGCAAACATAACTGAGTTACATGAGCTACACTCCCAGCTTGTCATATGGGTGTGAAGTAATATGGTGTATAGTGTCTGTGTGTTTATTGCTCTCTCTCTCTGAACCCTGCAGATGATAGGCAAACACTCTACTGCAAAGGTAACCCCCCACCCCCCTCTTCAGGTTTTGGTTTGCATTTACCTAATAATTAATGAATTGAGGATCTTTTCAGGTTCACATTGGCCATATCTCTCCAACCCTCCAAGGACTTTTTTTTAATTTAAAGATTTATTTATTAATGAGTATACAGTGTTCTGCCTGCACGCCAGAAGAGGGCACCAGATTGAATTACAGATGGTTGTGAGCCACTATATGGTTGCTGGGAATTGAACTCAGGACCTCTGGAAGAGCAGCCAGTGCTCTTAACCTCTGAGCCATCTCTCCAGCCCCCTCCAAGGACATTCTTTAAAAGAAAATGGGGGCTGGAGATGTGGTTCAGTTGGTAGAGTGCTTGCCTAGCATGCAGGAACCCTGTGCATAAACTGGTTGTTTGTAATCCAAGCACTTTGAAGGCAGAGGCAAGATTGTTATAAATGCAAGAATAGCCGGGGGTTGGTGGTGCACGCCTTTAATCCCAGCACTCGGGAGGCAGAGGCAGGTGGATCTCTGTGAGTTTGAAGCCAGCCTGGTCTACAGAGCCGATTCCAGGACAGCCTCCAAAACAATACAGAGAAACCCTGTCTCGAAAAACCAAAAAATAAATAAATAAATAAATAAATAAATAAATAAATAAATAAATGCAAGAATAGTAAGGTCTTTGTAGAGCCTTCCAGGCCAGGAGAGGCTACAAAGTGAGGCACTGTTGTTGGCAATCTCTAGCTGTGGTCCCATTTAGACCCCGCTAAACCTATCAGGGTTGGCTCCTTCCTACAGAGTACTTAAGTTCAGTCCCTAGAGCTGCCATGGGATTTCTCTTTCTTTCCTCCAGAATCACCTGGAGTTGCTTTGCTCAAATTAAACCTGGTCTTACTAATTCATCCTGATCTGACTGATTGCATCGGCAGAGAAACCCATGGTGTCTGTTTGGGCCTCAACTATGCCAGTCAGCATAGGTTATATCACTGAGCCGTAACTCTTATTTTCTGTTCTTTGTTTGACAAGCAAGGGTAGGCAAGCAACTTAGCTTTTTTTTTTTTTTTTGAATGTCTTATGGTACTATGAAGGGCCTCTTCAGGCCTGGAGGAGGTCCCTGTGTGGCAGCCTTTGACTCTGCTGCCATAGTGAGCCGACTTCTTTGTTCCAGTGGTCTTTTAAACCCTGATTTAGTAGTTCATTTGCTATGAGGAATCTTTCTTTCTAAACTGCCCCAAGGAGTTGAAAGCTTTAAATAAAAGCTCCTGCTTTAATGCTGTCAAGTGTTTTATGGCAGCTTGCCTCTTAGATGACAGAGGTAAGTAGAGATGTTCAGAAACCTTTGGAAGAGAGCAGGGAAGCCTGTCTTGTATAACCACAGGTAAAAGAGAGTTCTTGGGCTCAGTGGTTAAGACTGCTCTTGCAGAGGACCTGGGTTCTCTTTGGTTCTCAGTCACCCACATGGTGACTCACAGGCACCTGTAACTCAGTTACAGGAGATCTTACGCCCTCTTCTGTCTTTCAAGGGCACTTGCATGTATATGTGCACATAAAGCTTGCAGAAACTTAAGTTGAGTCATGGAGAAGCAGAGGATCTCTACAGTGCAGATTCTTTATCTGCACAAAGCCTTTTTGTGGCTCCCTGTTGCTGTCAGATTGTGTCTGCCTTCTCACTGGAGGTCTTCTGCTACCTGATCTGACCTTTGACTTCTCCACAACCTCTTTTTTTGTTTGTTTTTCAAGACAGGGTTTCTCTGTATTGTTTTGGAGGCTGCCCTGGAACTCGCTCTATAGACCAGGCTGGCCTCCAACTCACAGAGATTCGCCTGCCTCTGCCTCCCAAGTGCTGGGGTTAAAGGCGTTGCACTATCACCTCCCAGCTGCTCCACGCCCTCTTTAGCTTTTCCACTTTTTACCCAAACTTTCAGGTGTGCTGGAAGACTTCCCTAGCCTGGCTTTTTATCTTCCTACTTGCTGTCCTGCCTGGAATGCTTTCTTGTCTTCCTGCACTGAATCCAGTCTACCTGCCCTGCAGACTCCCAGCAACAGTGCCCTCCCGTGAGGGCACTTTTTTTTTTGTTTTGTTTTGTTTTTTCGAGACAGGGTTTCTCTGTGGCTTTGGAGGCTGTCCTGGAACTAGCTCTTGTAGACCAGGCTGGCCTTGAACTCACAGAGATCGCCTGCCTCTGCCTCCCAAGTGCTGGGATTAAAGGCATGCGCCACCACCGCCCGGCACTCCCGTGAGGTTTCTGCCACACTGACTGTGTCTCCTGCTACCATAGAGAGCACTTGTTTTTCTCAAGCTTTGTGCTTACCAGTTTGTCATTTCATTTTTTATTATAACTTTTTAAAGATTCATTTATTTATCACATATACAGTGTTGTGTGAGTTCCAGGACAGCCTCCAAAACAAGACAGAGAAACCCTGTCTCGAAAAACCAGAAGAAAAAAAAAATGAAAGAAACTTCCTAGAGTCTGGAGTTGTTTCAGGTTGGCATGGTGGTATAATGCCTGTTAATGTCAGCACTGAGGAGGCTAAAACCAGAGGATTCATATAGTCCATAGCCATGTAGGCTAAAGGACCAGTCAGTATAGAAACTGACTCAGAAAACAAGAAAAATGATTGTTTATAAGGTTTGAGTGTGCTCTCCCACGTGTCCATAGGCTTAGTCTTACAGTTCTCACTCCCAAACTGCGCTGGCTTCGGAGCCCATTCTGGTCTCACTGTTGGTGGCCCCTTCAGCTACTCAAGGCTGGGATTGCAAGTATGCACCCAGCACAGCTGTCTTTGATGGTCTTGTTTTTTTTTTTTTTTCTTCTTCTTTGAGACAGGGTTTCTCTGTGTAGTTTTGGAGGCTATCCTGGCACTTGCTCTGTAGACCAGGCCTCAGAACTCAGAGATCCACCTACCTCTACCTCCCGAGTGCTGGGACTAAAGATGTGCGCCACCACTGCCCGGCTTGTCTTTGATTGACATAGTTAACTTAAACACCAGTTCCTTAGGAAGGTCTAAAAGTTCTTAATTAAAAGTGATAAAGTGCAAATATTACAAAGGAAGTGTTGGAACACGTTACCTTCCTCACATTCTGGAGGACCACCGTGCTGGTTTGTCCTGGAGGTGTGAGTGAGTTGGTTAGCTCAGCATTTCCTGTTTGATTTTGAAATGCCTCTTTAGCTACCTGAATGCTGAGACAACATTTTCTCCAGAATGATCGATCAGTTTCAGCAGTTGTATAAAATAACTGCTAATTCTCTAATCTGAGGTTTGTTAGTAGCTGCCCACATTATGGTAGTTTTCTTGATTGAGCACTTGAACACTGCTATTTTCTAAGAATTGAAAGAACACTCCATTATCTTTTATGGGCATTGGTGTTTTGCTTACTTAGGAAGCTATGTCTGGGAGAATGTCATATCCATTAGAACTGGAGTTACAACTTGTGAGCTGCCATGTGGGTGGGGAAAATTGAACCTGGGTCTCCTGGAAGAGCAGCCAGAGCTCTTAACTACTGACTCATCTCTGTAACTTGATTTCACTTAAAATTTGTTTGGATTTAATGGAGAATGTGATGCATCCTCTGTGTTCTATTGGATGAGGTGAATGGGTAAGTATGGGGGCTGTTAATAGCACTTAGACCTTTCAGGGGTTGTGATTTGACTATTGAATATGCTAGAAAGCAAAATCACCTTAGGGTTCACTTTTTGTTTGTTTTGTTTTTTTCCAGACTGGGTTTCTCTGTAGCTTTCAAGTCTCTCCTGGAGCTCTGTAGACCAGGCTGCCTTAGAACTCAGAGATCTCTGCCTCCCCGAAAACTGGGATTAAAGGCGTGTGCCACCACTGCCTGGCTCACTTTTTCTCTTTTAAATAGAACTTTGAGGGTTTTTTGTTTATTTGGTTTTTGTTTTTTGGCTTTTTTCTTTTTATTTTTTTAAAACAGTTTCTCTGCATCACTCTGTAGACCAGGCTGACCTCAAACTCAGAGATCCGCCTGCCTCTGCCTCCGGAGTGCTTGGATTAAAGGCGTGCGCCACCTACACCTGGCGTTTCGTTTGGTTGGTTGGTTGTTTTTGAGACTAGGCTCCAAAAACCAAAAAGACATGCACCACTACTCCTAGCTAGAGTTTTTTTCATTTAATGTTTTTTTTTTTATTATTGTACTTAAGTGATTTGGCGTTTTGTTTTGCCTGCATGCATGTCTATGTGAGGGTGTCCGATCCGCTAACAGGAGTCCTGGACAGTTGTGAACTGTGATGTGGGTGCTGGGAAATTGAGCTCAGGTCTCCTGGGAGGGCAGCCAGTGATTTTTTTTTTGTTTGTTTTTTGTTTTTCGAGACAGGGTTTCTCTATTGTTTTGGAGACTGTCCTTGAACTCGCTCTATAGACTAGGCTGGCCTCACAGAGATCCGCCTGCCTTAGCCTCCCGAGTGCTGGGATTAAAGGTGTGCTCCACCAACGCCCGACTTCAGTCAGTGATTTAACCCATTGAGTCATTTCTCCATTCTCTTTTAGTGTTTTTTTTTAAAAGCTGTATAATACTTTGATATTTGAATAGAAAATGCTAGATGCGTTTAATCCTAGCATTCATTTCAGGAGGCAGAGGCAAGTGGATCTCTGTCAATTCCAGGCCAGTGGTCTAAATATGTATATAGAGAGATCCTGTCTCAAAAAATGGTCTGGAGAGTTGGCTCAGTGGTTAAGAGCATTGGCTGCTTTTCCAGAGGACCTGGGTTCAATTCCCAGGATCCACATGGCAGCTCACAACTGTCTGTAACTCCAGTTCCAGGGCATCTGACACCCTCACACAGACATACATTCAAGCAAGTAAAAAAAGCAAGCAAAACAAACAAAAAACAAACCAATACACATAAAAGAATAAATCATTTTTTAAAAAGTTCAAACCAAAAAGAAATGTATTTAGGCTTTGTGCCATATCTGGCACAACTCTTGGTTATCATTTTAGAAACACACTTTGAGAATATTACATCTTGGTAAATGAACACACCAAATTGGTTCAGCGCTGGGCTGGTTGGGTTGTGGGGACAGAAATGCCCACTGTAGTAGAAGAGCTTGTCCTCCCTCCCTTTTAGCTCCCGTTTAAGTTCTTTGGGTAGGTGTTTGTTTCGTTTGGGTGATCATTTGGCTGCATCTCTCAGGGGCAGTTTGTGAGGGACATGGTGGCCCAGGGATGTGAAGAAGCCAGGCGCATGGGGACTGGGCATCTGCCACCCGGCCAGCGCTCGGTGTTGATTTTGCATCAGCACAGGGGCTGCCCCTGAATCTAATGCTGTTTTTCAGCATTTATTAACTTGGAGTGGAAGCAGGGCAGTCAGGAGTCAATGTGGACCTCAGCGTAAGGAGTTCTGAGGCCAGCACGGGCTACTAGGGGTCCCATCTCAAAGGCAACAAAATATAATTAATTCACAGATACAGCTCCAAACTCAGAGGCAGGGGCAGGAGGATCTCTGAATTTGAGGCCAAGTCAGGGCGACACAGTGAGACCCTGTCTGTAAGAATGGTGTGGGGGAAAGCCAGGATTACAAAGGACAAACAATGCAAGTTATCCAGACTTCCTACTTTAACTTTTGAAAGTTACTGTTGGCCACTGGGTACTGCGCCCCTCCCCTACATGGGATTCTATGTTCCTTCAGTATGTGCCATCAATTTTTTTAGGGGCACAGCAAGACAGTGCATATTCATCTTATAATTTATTTCCCTCAGGAGCCTTAGCGTTTTTAGTGGAGACTATTTAGAAATCAGGATTTGTTAATGAGCTTGGTCCTTGTTCTTTATCTTGGGTATACTACTTAATGAGTGTTGTGGTTAATGATGGTGTTCAAGTGGCTTAGCTTTACCTCAGCCCCCAACTGTGGGCGTGTCCAACAGAAATATGTTCTGCTTCTTTCTGTTGGTTGATGGGTTCCTGTTTGTACCTGTGGTGAGAAGCTGTCAACCCCATCTTATTAACACAGGACTTGAGAATGCAGAGTTCCAGGACAGCCAGGGCTGCATGGAGTGTGTGGGGGTGTAGGGTGGGGGATAGTTAAATAAATAAGTAATTAAATGAATGAATAGAAAGCTCAATCCTTTTCCTTTTCAATCCTCTTCCTTTTCACGTCTTGCGAATATTTTCTTTAATTAAATTGTAATCCTGTTTTTTTTTTCTTCTTCTTGTAGAAGAAACTGCAGAGGCAACCCCAATTGTTTAGTTGGAATTGGAGAGCACATTTGGTTAGGAGAAATAGATGAGAATAGTTTTCATAACATTGATGATCCCAACTGTGAGAGGAGGAAAAAGGTGAGTAAATTGTTTCTTGCTGTTCAGTTCTTGTGTTCAGAAACCTGTTAGAGTGAACATGTACCACAGTAGTGGAGGGAGGCCCTGCATCCTCCTATCCACAGAACTCTCTTCTCCGTGCTCTAAAAAAAGTGGAAAGAAATCACCACAAACTATTAACCATTTTGATAACCTGTGTGTCAGAAGTAGAGGTTCATGGCCTTGTGTGTTTGAATTCTTCCTTTTTAGTTTGGGAAAGTCTAGTTAAGTTATTATAACCACACAAAACTATTGGTTTGTTTGTTTGTGCTGGGGATCAAGCCCAGGGCCATGCACTTATGCTGAGTAACGGTAGGCAAGCTCTCGCTGGGTGGTGGTGGCGGCACACCTTTAATTCCAACATTCAGGAGGGGAGGCAGAGTTTGAGACCAGCCTGGTCTACAGAGCTAGTTTCAGGATGGCCTCCAAAGCCATAGAGAAACCCTGTCTCGAAAAACCAAAAAATGAGTAGGCAAGCTCTCTACACTGAGCTATATGCTTTTAGTCTCAACACTCCAGCAGGCAGAAACAGGTGGATCTCTTGAGTTCAAGGCCAGCCTGATGTACAGAGTGAGTTCCAGGACAGCCAGGGCTATACAGAGAAGCCCTGTCTCAAAAAAACAAAAATGGGGGATCACACAGTTGAGCAAGCCCTTAGACAGTGGTCTTGGTTTACATTCTGATGTTGTGTTGCTTTAACAGAGAGCATGTTTTGTTTAGAACTTAGAATGACTTTAGAGGAAGGTGCTAATACAACAAGTTACTGTGGTGGTTTCTCTTTGCTTTCCAAGGCATGCATCTGTCTTGTGTAGTATTTACATACACACATACCACACAGGCTTTAAAAGTATGCATTACTATTTCTAACTAACAAACCCAGCATGCATCAGTGAGCTCTGTTGTATTGATAGTTTCTCAATTAAAAGGAATATTTAAGTTCAAGATCTCTGCAGTAGAAGGGGGCCTTCCTTTCTCTTTGTCTCCCAGCTCTTCCTGAAGTCTCTTTTTGTCTTTTTAAGAAGTGCTGACATTTAGAAGTATAATGAAAAGCCTGAGCACACATGCTTCAGAACACCTGTTCTAATTTTAGGCTTAAGAGACTGGAGATGACAGTAGTGCTAGAAATGAGCATTGTTGTTGTCTGAAGTCTCTTCTCTGCGGCCAACCGCAGTGGTGGTCGAACATAAAAGGCCTCCATGAAAGGTCTGCCCCGCCTGCAGCTGAGAGGGGGTTCAAGTGATTGTGCCAAACTGATCAGAACCGGCTTAAAAGACTTAGTATGTAATGTTATGAATAACTGTTCTTTATAAACCTTTAGTTTCATGGAGGCTAATAATTGTTACGTAACTCTTGTGTTTCTGTAGAATTCATTTGTTGGCCTGACTAACCTGGGAGCTACCTGTTATGTCAACACCTTTCTCCAAGTGTGGTTTCTCAACTTAGAGCTTCGACAGGCGCTGTACTTGTGCCCAAGCACCTGTAGTGACTACACAATGGGTGATGGTGTCCGTGGAGGAAAAGGTCTGTAGGGATGGGGGCAGGGGCTTCCTGCTGAGGGGTTGTCAGCCAGATCTCATGAATTCACCACAAAAGAGGAAACATGAGTTTTGGTTCCATGTCAAGTGTGATGCTGTAAACATACTCGGGATTTAAAATACAATTTTCTAAAAAAGACTTGAGGGTGGTGGTGGCACACACCTGTAATCCCAGCACTGGGAGGCAGAGGCAGGTGAATCTGTGAGTTCCAGGCCAGCCTGATCTACAGAGGGAGTTCCAGGACAGCCAAGGCCTTTACACAGACAAACCCTGACTTTGGGGAGGGGATAGGGGAAGGAAAGAAAAGAAGAGAATGGAGAGACTATTTCAGGTCATCCTCATGTACATAAGGACATAAGGGGCCTGAGGCCAGCCTGCTTATACAAAAGACATTGCCTATAAGCAAACCAATAAATGAAAAAAATGCGTACCCCCACCCAAAAAAAGGAGACCAACTTTAAATTTGTGTTTGGGTTAGAGAGATGGCTCAGCTAGGCTAGGACCTAGGTTCATGTTTCCAGTACCCAAGTGGTTGCTCACAGCCATTTGTAACTCCAGGAGCCCAGTGGCCTCTTCAGCCTTCTTGAGCACCAGTCAGTTGCAGTGTACACACATACACAAAACACTCATACACATAAGACATTGTCATTATGAGTGTTTTGTTTACATGTATATTAGTGTACCATGTGCGCTTGGCGCTGGTAGAGGACATTGGACTCCCTGGAACTGTTCTTACCTGCTCTGGGAATTGAACCTAGGTCCTCTGGAAGAGCAGCCAGTGCTTCTAATTCCTGAGCATCTCTCCAATTCCATCCCAACCTGCCCCACATTTTTGTGTGTGTGTTGGGTGTGTTGAGACAGGTCTCTATAGCTTTGGCTGCCCTGGAACTCACTGTAGAACAAACAGGCTGGCCTCAGACTTAGAGAGGAGCATTGCTTCTAGAGTGCTGGGATTAAAGGCTCTTCCCCCTCTTTTTAAAAAAAAATCTATTAAAGGCTGACCTAGATGCCTTGGAACTCCCAAGCTTCTTGCTCCTTCTCACAAGTGCAGAGATTCTGGGCATGTATACCACCATGCCTGGTTAAGTTTAAAGTGAAACTGTGTTTTTCTTTCAATAGATTATGAGCCTCAGACAATTTGTGAGCATCTACAGTACTTGTTTGCTTTGCTGCAAAACAGTAACAGGAGATACATTGATCCTTCAGGATTTGTTAAAGCCTTGGGTTTAGATACTGGACAGCAGCAGGTAAGAACAGCTCCCGTATTCTCTTCCTATCCTCTCTTACTCTCCTCTTCAAAGGTGCTCAAGTGTTCCTAGGGAAGATGAAATATAGGGTGCTTGTTAAAATGTAATTTTTTTACTGGGTGTGATGGTAGACACCTTTAATCCCAGCACTTGGGAGGCAGAAGCAGGCAGATCTCTTGAGTTTGAGTCCAGCCTGGTCTACATAGAGAGTTCCAGGACACTCAGGTCTACATAGTGATATATCTCAGATAAATTCTACTTTGGATTTTATTGCCTTAATTACTGAACAATATGTTCCTTATTATACTTGCCATGTTTTCCTTTTATTAATGTATATATGTATGTGTATACCACCTGTGGTTAGGTACTTGCGGCGGCCAGAAGAGGGAGGTGTTCTATCCTCTGGAACTGGAATAACAGGGGGTTGGGAGGCCATGATGTGGTTCTGGGAACTGAACTTGAAGAGCAGTAAGGTGTTAACTGCTGAGTGAGCCATCTCTCCATCTTGACTGTCTTCCCTTTCTTGTTTTGTTTTGTTGAGACAGGGTTTCACTGTGTATCTCTGACTGTCCTGGAACTCTATTTTGTAGACCAGGGTGTTCTTGAACTCAACGAAATCTGCCTGCCTCTGTCCCCCAAGTGCTGAGATTAAAGGCATGTACCACCACTGCCTGGCCCCCTTCAGTTTTGTTTTTAACTTATTTTATGTCTGGGTGTTTGCCTGTACATATGTATATCTGTGCACTATCCTTGTCTTGTAACTGAAGAGGCGAGAAGGCATTGAATCTTCTGGGACTGACACAGTTGTGCTGGGAACTGAACCTGGCTCTTCTGCCAGAGCAGTCAGTCCTCTTAACTGCTAAGCCATTTCTTCAACCTGTCAACTGTTTGTTAAAACTGATTTGTAGGACTGATTCAATATAGCTGTAGTCTTCTTTTAAGTTTAATATACAGGTAGTTTCTGAGTAGCTTTTGTATTAGAAGTCAGGAAGCAAGATACAAATTTTCATTAATTCTAACTGTAGGATGCCCAAGAGTTTTCCAAGCTCTTTATGTCACTGTTGGAAGACACTTTGTCCAAACAGAAGAACCCAGATGTTCGGAACATCGTGCAGCAGCAGTTCTGTGGGGAATATGCCTATGTGACTGTGTGAGTATTGCAGCTCTTGTCGCATTACCTTTCAATTTAATCCCAGGTTATCGCTGGGGTGGGTTATCACGGGACCTGCAATATTTATAGCAGTACATTTCCATGGGAACATGAAAGCAGAGTCCTTGCCAATTGCAGTTGAATGCCTGCAGGTGTTGGGTGGGAACTGTCTGATTGAAGTCTGTGATGGCTATGTAGTGTGGGCTGAAGATGTGAGATTGGAACTGGCTAGAAAACGAGATCATGTCCAACAGCTCTTGGGAAACGTCCTAGTCCTTAAATGACCCATTCCCTAGCTAGCTTTTATCCTTATCTACCTGTAATTCACTTACTATAATTTCTGTAACAAAAAAATGTAGGTTATAAACACTCCCTCCCTTCTGTCTAGGATGTGTTATAGTGATACGGGATTGCTCTTCTCACTCTGATCTCAATTTTATTGCTTTTTCATTGCAGTTGCAATCAGTGTGGCCGCGAGTCTAAGCTATTATCAAAGTTCTATGAATTGGAGTTAAATATCCAAGGCCACAAGCAGTTAACAGACTGCATCTCCGAATTCCTGAAGGTACTCGAATCCTAGCATACATATGGCTTCTGCTCACTGGTGGTTCCATGCTATTTTGGATGGCATTTTGTACCTCCATTATTGGAGATTTCTCCATATAAGAAATAACCTGTTTTTATAAGACCCAAAAGAAACTAAAAAGTACCAAAGCAGTCTGTATCTTAACTAATTTTAGGGTTTTGCATGCTCACTGTATGTATAATTATGTGTGTATGATTACAGGCAGCACAGTATTTAAAGAAATCTGGTCTTTGTCACCATAAAGCTAACTTATCATGTAATAGAATGCATTAAGTAGGAACATAGCCCCTCTCTCCATGTTTCTGTTTTCTGTGTGTTTTGAGTTTCAGAGATAGAGGTGGTTCCCTTTCCTTCCCTGTGAGGAAGACTTCATTATCAAGCTTGACCAGGTAGATAGTGTGATAGCTTCCTATCTTTAAAAAGTGCCGCGTGTACGTTCTCTTGTCTTGTACACAATAGCAGCCCGAAGCCATTAATCATGCGTTGAGTTTATCCATCTAAAGACTTCCTGAGCGTTTACTTTGTTGTATTAAGCACCATGGCGACATTGGACTGACAGTATTGGCCAAAACGGACAAAATAAGATTTAATGGAGGTTGTGGTACAGTAGTAGCATGGCTACTAGGGTCTCATACATAAATAAGAGTAAAATGTGTAGTGGTCAACCGCTGTGTGCTGTGGAGGAGAAGAATGCAGGCTGGGGCTGGCTGCAGTTTGAAATGAAATGGTTCCAGCAACACAAGAAGCAGAACAGTGTTTCTGGGCATCTGAAATACTGAGGGCAGAGCTGTTGTGGAACTTTGCCTGTGGTTTGAGGACAGGACGGTGTGTGTAGCGTAGTGCTAGAGCAAAGGAAGAGTGACAAGATGAATAACTGGATAGAGGAGATGGCCACCACAGAGGCCTGGTTTGAAAAGTGACTTCTATATGAAATGAGACTCTGGGGCCAATCTTGTGATCCTGGGGCTACACAGTGTTTACCAGGATGACTGTGCGAGCTGTTTGAGAGAAGAGGCTAAAGGGTGGGTCTTGGGCAGACAGGATGCAAGACTTCCCAGGACCATCGGCTAACTGAAGACATGGTTAGTAGCACTGGCTAGTTTGCGTTCTATCTTCAAAGTATAGTCAGTCAAACTGATGCACTGAGTATGAAGGTGAAAATCAAGGGTTTTTAAGGTTTGTGGCCTGATAAGTTGGAAGAATGTTGTCATTTCTAAGCTGGGAGAAGATTGAGAAGGGCAGGGTTGGGATAGGAATTTTTTGTGAGTTGAGGATAGAGCTGAATGCTGGAAGTGTGGAAAGAAGAATCAGGAGTTCAAAGCCAGCCTCAGCTACTTCAGGTAAAGGCTATTCATATGTTGCATGAAACCCTGCAAAACAGGTTTGTCATGATGGGTAGTTCTGTAGCAGAGCTTGTTTAGTATGTTGAATGCCTTGGGCTTAATCAATTCATAGCACACACATAAGCATGCAAGGAGGGGCAAAGGACTAAGGCAGGCTTCCTAGCCCTGGGAGCCTGAAGTATGAAGTCATTAGGGAGAAGAGCAGCTGGCCAAGGAAGCTGCCTACAGAGGGCCCATGAGGGAGGAGGAGGAGGAGGGGCGTCCTCAGTGGGATGGGAGCTGCTAACTGACAGAACTTTCATTGCTTCTTTTCCTCACATCCTTCCGAACTGGTCTGTTTTATTCCTGATCAGGAAGAAAAATTAGAAGGAGACAATCGATATTTCTGTGAAAACTGTCAAAGTAAACAGAACGCTACAAGGAAAATTCGACTCCTAAGCCTCCCTTGCACTCTGAACTTGCAGCTGATGCGTTTTGTGTTTGACAGGTGAGTGTTATACCAGTAGTAAGCAGAGAAGATGATGGTATGATGACTCACGTGGAGGCGTTGGCTCATCCAAATGTATTTCATGGTGGTGCAGTAAGAATCTTATAAGCTGGGTGGTGGCAACGCACGCCTTTAATCCCAGCACTTGGGAGGCAGAGGCAGGTGGATCTCTGTGAGTTCCAGGTCAGCCTGGTTTACAAAGTGAGTTCCAGAACCCCCAGGACTGCACTGAGAAACACTGTCTGGAAGACACTCCCTCAACCCCCCCTCCAAAAAAAAAATCTTAAAGAGGCCAGTTGTATATAGATGAGAGCTAGAGATGTGAAGAGAATGTAAATACTATTACTTTTTTATCTTTTAAATTGAAAAGTGTAAGTACTCAACCAAATGTCCTTGATACTCTGTATGATCATATATTTCAAATAAAATTTCCCTCTGTGGGAATGCATATTTCATCTTGTAATTAAAATAAGGCAGCTCTGCACCTGGGCATACAGTCTGTGCTTCTGGAGTGAGTTCTCTCTACAGAGAAGATCAGCCTTTGCCTGTGTGTACTAGATTACCAGATGGAATATACCTGCGGTGGGACTTGTCAAGGAGGTGACAGCATGTGCACACATTCCTGATAGGTTGACTGTTATGTCTGTCCACTTCTTCTCAGGCAAACCGGACACAAGAAGAAGCTCAATGCCTATATCGGTTTCTCTGAGAGTCTGGATATGGAACCTTACGTGGAGCACAAAGGTACTGTTTTTATCAAGCTATGACTGTTGTTAGCTAGCATGAGATGAACCTGTTGCCTTCCTGCTCTGGGTCAGGCGTGTGGTTGTAGAAAACTTCTTCCCAGGAGTCTCTAGTAGGTTTCAGATAACACACAAAGCAGTGGAATTGAACATCATGAGCTTTATCTGGATTGGCTAGTATGTTTATGCTTGGTATGATTACTGATTTAGTCTTCCAATTCAGATTTACTGTCACACGGCCCCTCCCTTTTTAAATTAACTATTAAAGGCTTTTGAAACCTCAGCCACTTCCATTGGAATACCTCCTTTTGCTAGGCCATACCTATCCTTCCCAGTCTCACTAACTGGGAGCAACCATTTACTTGTCTGAGCTTCCGGGAGCCATTTTCATTCAAACTAACACAGCTGGTAATTTTCCACAACTATTTGTTGTGACAGGAAGATTCAGTTGTGTTATTTAGTAAGCTTAAGAACACTGGTTTTAGCCGGGCGTTGGTGGCACACACCTTTAATCCCAGCACTCGGGAGGCAGAGGCAGGCGGATCTCTGAGTTCGAGACCAGCCTGGTCTACAAGAGCTAGTTCTAGGACAGTCTCCAAAGCTACAGAGAAACTGTGCCTCAAAACAACAACAACAACAACAAAAACACCGGTTTTAAAGAAAATATGGGATATTTACATGTAAAGTAGAATACTTCACAGCTCCAAATAAGTTTTGTCATTTGTGAGAAGGATAAACTTGAATGACACGACATGAAAGTGAAATAAGCTTGGCGTATAGAAAGAAAAATCCTTAAGGTTTCACTTTCCTGGGAGCTTATTTGCCAGTGATGCAGCACAAGAGATAAAGTCTGGAGATTTACTGCATGATGTGGTTGACTGGAATTAGTTCCAGGCCATGCTGTTGTGGTTCACGCTTTTAATCCTGTCACTCCGTAGGCAGAAGGGGGTGAATTCTGGATTTCAACACCAACCTGGTCTACGTCAGTTCCAGGACAGCCAGACCTATACAGAGGAACACTGTCTCAAAAACAAAAAGAGCCTGGTGTTGGTGGTGCACGCCTTTAATCCCAGCACTCGGGAGGCGGAGGCAGGCGGATCTCTGTGAGTTCGAGGCCAGCCTCTTCTTCAGAGCCAGTTCCAGGATAGGCTTCAAAACAATACAGAGAAACAAACAAACAAACAAGCCAACAGTGCCTTGTGTGTTCTGGGAAGAATTAAAGAGTAGGAAGGTTCATACTGTTGGTACCAGAAAGAAATCCTCTGCTGCTCTCATGCTGATTAGCTGCTGACATTCTTGTACTGTTTAGTTTTTAGCTTTTGCCAGTTGAACAATATATTTAAGACAGGAATACTGTGTGTGTATGTATGTGTCATGGTGTATGTGGGGAGGTGTCAGAGGACACCTTTTGGGATCAGTTCTTGTCTCCATTTTGTTGAGTGGGGTCTGTTTTGTTTCTGCTGTGTATGCTTCATACTCTAAGGCTAGCTGGCCTAAAAGCTTCCAGCCAAGAATGTCTCCTTGTCTTCCATCTGTTGTACCTACCTCAGGAGCACTAGAATTCTTCCTGGCTCAATTCAGAAATATTTGTGTCTTCCTCTTTAGTATCTGTTTTTTTTTTAAGATTTATTTATTTATTACATATACAGTGTTCTGCCTACATGCCAGAAGAGGACACCAGATTGAATTGTAGATGGTTATGAGCCACCATGTGGTTGCTGGGAATTGAACTCAGGACTCCTGGAAGAGCAGTCAGTGCTCTCTCCAGCTCTTTAGTATCTTAACCCGGAGGGTTTTTTTTGTTTTGTTTTGTTTTGTTTTTTAAACCCAAAGTTTTGACCCACATATTAATTTTTATTAATGTCCTCCTCACCAAGTTGAAAGTGTGCTAGGATTTTCTTTTAGTCAACTGCTTTTTGCTTCTAGTCTAAAACAGGGTCCAACATGTTTATTGATTGAGTGATGTACTGACTGCTTTAAGAGTATTAAAATAAGGAAATAAAGTTGGGTGTGAAGATTTTTTTATGCATATAATATTGTTTGTGAAAGCTTCCAAATCTTTCCAGTGTCAGTATCTAGACATTGGGGATGGTTCCATACTGTACTTAGTTCTAGAAGCACAATATGCTTAGTTAGTATAAGTAGTTTTTTCTTTACGAATTGATTTTGTTTTTAATGTGCATGAATGTTTCATCTGTGCACTTGTATGTACATTCCTCGTGCCTGCAAAAGTGAGAAGAGGGAGGGCATTAATTAGGTCCAGTCATGGACAGTTGTGACCCTCCCTGTGGGTGCTAGAACTTTTTTTTTTTGACAGGGTTTCTCTATTGTTTCGAAGCCTATCCTGGAACTCACTCTGTAGACCAGGCTGGCCTCGAACTCGCATAGATCTGCCTGCCTCTGCCTCCCGAGTGCTGGGATTAAAGGCATGCTCCACCAACGCCCGGCTAGAACTTTTTTAAAAGGTTTTGGTGTTTAATTTTTATTTTAATTCATGTATGTTTGTGTGCCATGAGCATGTCTAACCTTTTTTTTTTTCTCCTTTGAAACAGAGTCTCAATATGTAGTCCTGTCTGGGCTGGAACTCACTGTGTAGATCAGGCTAGCTTGGAATTTATAGAGATCCTCTTGCCTCTGCCCTCCCAGTGATCCAGTTAAAGACATACTAGGCCAGGTGGTGGTGCACCCATTTAATCCCAGCAGTCTGGAGGCAGAGGCAGGCAGATTCTCTATGTGAGTTCAAGGCCAGCCTGGGAAGACAAGGAGTGCCACTATAGGCTCCAAAGCTACACAGAGAAACCTTGTCTCAAAAAACCAGGGGGCGGACACACACACACACACACACACACACACATACACACACACACACACACACACACACACTCAGTTACTTTCCCCCAAACTTTAGAAGGTTTTATTGATTTGGGAATGGAGGTACACACCTTTTATCCCAGAGCTCAGGAAGCAGAGGCAAGAGGATCTATGAGTTTGAGTCCAGCCTGGTTTACATAGCTGAGTTCCAGGCCAGACAAGATTACATGGGGAGATCTGGGCTCAAAAAATAAAAGATTTTATTTTATTTGTCTTCCTATTTTATGTTTTGAGATAAGTCTTACATATATTCTAGCCTTGCCTGGAATGTAGTAAATAACACACACTGTCCTCCATCTTGTGGTAATCCTCCTGCTTCAGCTTCCCTTGTTTCAGTTGCCAGCACTGTGAAAGGAAAAAGTCACCTGTATTTTATAAACATCTTAGGTCGCTCTTGGCCCATTTGAGTAGTCCTGCTGTGCATATTCTGTAATAACCTTGAAAACTTGTTGACCTCTTACTCAGTCTTTGGGACGCTGGGTCATAGTGACCTCTATCTATGCTCAGCTTTTAGGTGTCACATTTTATATTCTGTCAGATGCATAAAGCACTACAGTGGCATCAATTTATGCTCAAGCTACAAGGCATGCAATGGTGGAAAGTTGTTCTTATGCCCTTTTCTCCTTGCAGGTGGGTCCTTTGTGTATGAACTCAGCGCGGTCCTCATCCACAGAGGTGTGAGTGCTTATTCTGGCCACTACATCGCCCACGTGAAAGATCCTCAGTCTGGAGAATGGTATAAGTTCAATGATGAGGACATAGAGAAGATGGAAGGAAAGAAATTACAACTAGGGATTGAGGAAGATCTAGGTAAAACCTTTAAGTTGTGAGTGCCCTTTTAAAATATAAATTTTGTTGTGGTTGATGTTGTTTTGAGACAGGGTCTCACCATGTAGCTCTGGCTGTCCTGGAACTCAATATGGAGACCAGGCTGACTTTGAACTCAGAGAGATGTGCCTGCCTCTGCCCCTGAGTGCTGCATTAAAAGTGTGTCCCACCATGCCTGGCTTAGGAAAAAATTATTTTTCTCTGGAAATGTTTGAGGCTGTCATGGCCCAAAATTGCTGATGGTTATTGAGGGTATTTAACACCACCAGACATCTTTTGTTAGCAGTTCCTGCTTCAAGAAAAAACAAACATATTTTGGCTAGAGGTAGATGGCCATTCCAGGAAAGCATGAAGGTGAAGGGGTCGGTTTCAGTTTAGAGGGTTTATTCCTTGGGCAGGGGAAGGATGGTTATTGGTTCCTAGATGAAGGACGGAGTAGATAAACTGCTCTGAGACATGGTCTCGAGACAGCTCTCATCACCTCAGCTGTCATAATCAGCTTTAGCTTTGTTCCCTAGTGAAGGGCCAGGTCTGATAGGAGCTGGTGATCTCCTTCACTTCACCAGTAGAGTTCCCTCTGGCCTCTTGGTTTCCCCATCATGATACTGCTGGGATTACACGTGTGTACCACCACACCTGGCTCACAGCTGAGTTGCCAAGGTGTGTGGTGGAGAAGCACTGGCATAAGGCCTTGCTGGATTTGAGTCTCGGAGTCACATTCTGTTTATAGACTGTACCTGTTACTTTTCCTGTACGTGTCGCAGTTAGAAAGCTGGAGGGTGGGAAGCTGTGGAGAGCAAAGCTCATGATCTCGGGGCATTGTGGACCTTCATGGCAGGGAAGGTCTGGGTGGGCAGTTTAGCTCTTGGGGGCTGGAGTATGTGTGTTTCTACTTAAGGCAAACATTGCAGTAGAGCGTGTACTAGTTGTGAGGACCAGCTCCAGCCACACTGTACCAGCCAGGCCCCCCCATCCTACGCTGCACACCTGCTCCAGGTTCTGCCACCAGCTGGGGAATAAGCATTTCAAAACAGGTCTGTTCTGGGTATTTCACATCCAGGCTCTACCTGAGCTGCAATATTGCTGAGCTGACCCTTAGGTTCCTAACTCTCACTGCAGTGTTTTTGATGTGAACATTGTTTACTTCAACTTTTATTGTCTTTTTTTGTAGCACAAACCTTAGGTTGTAAATAATTATGTTTTCATTTTGGGTGTTTCTTACTGCAGTTTATTGCAGTTGTCTACATTGTAGCATTGGAATTGTAAGGTTTCAAGTCTTAGGTACCTGGACCTTTGTTGTTAAGAGTACTTGCTGTGTGCTGGCCCACCTTTAACCAGAGCCTGAGGCCTTGTCCACAGAGTGGGTTTCAGGATTGCCAGGACTACACAAAGAAACTCCAAAAACAACAAAACAACAACAACAAACCAAAAGCAAACAAACTTGTACTTGTTGTTTGCATAGAGGGCTAGAGTTTGATTCTCCGCAGCCACATTTGATAGCTCAGACACGTAACTCCAGCTCTGTGTAATCCGACACCTTCTTAGGGCCTCTTCAGGCACCTGTACTTCACACACACACACATGCACGCACGCACGCACGCACCCCTAATTTAAAAATAGGTCTTTTAAAAAAATCTTGTTGGAGCCCGCTGTGCAGCCTGTATCCGAGAATGTGGCCAGGGTGTCGGGATTGAAGACACAGAGACCAGTCAACCACGGAAAGAAAACTTTAAGCAGGCCCCAAAAAGGCCTCCCTCCAGAAAAGCTTCTGCTCTCTCCTTCCCCTGGCTGGTTCTGCTCTGACACCAGAAACTGACTTGGGTGTGTCAGAATAGGCGGTTAGTCTTTGGAAAAGGTCGAGGTCAAGGTAGGGCCTGTGAGCCAGCCCTTTTTAGGAACTTATTGCCCCAGGCATTGTATTGTTTTTAGTAAACATGTTTTTAGTAAACATTGTCTTACAGCTGCCTACTCCCAGGCTGATGGGGAAGTGGGTCTCTGCCCAAGGTCTGTTGTCCCCACCGGAGTCCCCTGTCGATTCTACACATGTGGGCAGTCCTCAAAAGAGCTGAAGAGAATCTCTTTGCTTATCAGTATTCTGTTCTGATATTTAAATAACTTCTGCATTTAGTGTTTTTGGTTAGTTTGGTCTGGTTTATCCAGACAGGGGTTCTCTGTGTAGCCCTGGCTGTCTTAGAACTCACTCTAGACCAGTCTGGCCTTGAACTCACAGAGTTCCACCTTCCTTTGTCTCCCAGTGCTGGGATTAAAGGTGTGTGCAGCTACTGCCAGGCAAGATATTTTATTATGTGACCCATGCTAACCTCAAACATGTTACAACCCTTATCTTAGCCTTCCAAGTTCTGATATTATAACTATGCATAGACTTGGATTTTTCTTTTATCAGATTTACCATGCGGGTGTGGTGTATCAAGATAGGGCCTCATGTAGTTTAGATTATCTTGAATCTCTCACTGGTAAAAGAAAGCCCCAGACTATCATCTTCCACGTCAAAGCCTCACTGATTGCTATGATGAAAATAGGTTCTATCTAACCTCCCAACTTTGGGTTAATTTTTATAATTTAAGGCTAACATTTAGGGTCAGTCAAGGTTACACACACACCTTTAACCCTAGCACTCTGGCCAGCCTGGCCTACCTAGCTAATTCTAGGCCTGCTGACACTATACAGAGTGAGAATCTGTCTCAGAAATGGAGTGACGACACTCAAGTCACATGAGTAGTGGTGCTGTTTGTTTTTGCCCTGGCTGAACCGAAACTGAACTGTGTAGAGCAAGTTGACTTCCAACTTTGTATTTGGTTGGAACAGCCCCTGAGTGTGGTTATGTATCCCATCCTTAGTGAATAGGAGCCTGCTCCTCTAGGTTTGTCCTTGGGGACATAGTTTCATCTTTAAAAAAATTGGAGTGTTGAAATCATACATGGAGACACATGCCTGTTATTCCAGCATTCTAACAATGAGGCAGAAGGTCCACTAGTTTGAGACCCACCTAGGCAATGGTGTGAGACTCAGCCTCAGAACATAAAGGGGGTTGTGACAAACAAGAATGGACATTTCTCTGTTTTACATATCTTCAAATCTGAGCCAGTGAGTCAGTGTGCCTGCAGGCAAGCCTCATTGCCTCATTCGATCCCTGGAGCCCATGTGGTAGAACTCCCAAAAGTGTCCTGTCAGTACTGCTTGTGTTCATGCACAGAATAAACTAGTACAAAAGAATTCTGTCTAAGGAACCATCACCTTTGTGTGGCATTTCAATGTTTTAGATCTTCAGTGTATACTGCAGATATATATATATATATATATATATATATATAATTATTTTGTATGTATGGATATTTTGTCTGCATGTATGCTTGTGTACTATGAGCCTATAGTGATGCCCCTGAGTCATAACAGGGCATCAGATCCCCTGTGACTGGAGTTATAGGTGGTTGTGAGCCACCATGTGAGTGCAGGGGATTAAACCCTTGTCCTGGAAGAATAGCTAGTGCTCTTACTGCTGCTGAGCTATTGCTCTAGCCCCTAGGCATATTTTTTTAAGGGTTTTTATTTTTAATGTGTGAGTTTTTTTTTTAACCTATCTATAAGTGCACCACAGGCTTCCAGTGCCCAAGGAGTCCGGAAGAGGTTGTCTGATCGATCCTTAGAGGCAAGAAGAGTGGCAGACTGGAAGCAGAGTTACATTTGGTTGCCAGCCACCACTGGTGCTGGGAACTGTTAGCTCTAGTCCTCTGTAAGAGCAGCCAGTGCCTTAACTGCTGGGCCAGATCTCCACTCTTGGGAATCGTGTGTGCACATACATTTGTTCTCAGGTGTCTTGGGTCCCTCGGGTACCATCCATTTTGTTTTGTTTTGTTTTTTGTTTTTCGAGACAGGATTTCTCTGTGTTTAGGAGGCAGTCTGGAACTCGCTCGGTAGACCAGGCTGGTCTTGAACTCACAGAGATCCACCTGCCTCTGCCTCCCGAGTGTTCGGATTAAAGGCTTTCGCCACCACCGCCCAGCTCCATTTTGTTTTTCTGAGACAGGAGTTTGTTGTTTAAGGGCCTATGAAACCTAGGGATCTGCCTATCTCTACTGCCTGAGTACTGAGACTGCAACTATGTACCATGGTGCCCAGCTTTTTAAATGTGGGTTTGGGGGATGTTTGTAGAGTGAGCTCTTTATTCAATGAGTCATATAAGTAATTTTTTGTGTACTCCCCAAACCCTAAATTGTGGACCATCTAGTTAAATTATCTTTTAATTTCTTTATCCCAGCAGAGCCTTCTAAATCCCAGACCCGTAAACCCAAGTGTGGGAAAGGAACTCACTGTTCTCGAAATGCGTACATGTTGGTTTATAGACTGCAAACCCAGGAAAAGAACCACACAATGGTTCAAGTCCCAGGTAATCACCTTTTCTGAATTGCTTCTGGAAATGCTATAGAATTCTATATACTCCTAGGTTAATTAATGAGCACCACCAGATTGCTCATAGCGTGACAAGTCTGTTCAGTGTGGTAAATGCTAATGAAAGTAAGCGCAGGTCACAAATTAACAGTTATTGAGCTTTTGGATGACTGGACCTTAGGACTCTTCTATTACCCCACCCCCCAAATAGGCAAAAGCAATTTTCAATAATGTTAAAAGGTAACCTAGATTGGTTTTATTCTGTTAAACTTGTAGAGCAGAAGAAACCGGTCTACCTGGCGTGTGCCACAGACTGTTGCATTAGAGCCATTTGATGCTTCTGGGCAGTCTGGGTGGGGATCACCTGTCTTCATTACACCTTCAGTTTCACCTATGTCTTCATCTCTAGATGATAATGTGCATATCAGTGTGGTCTCTGGAAAAGAGGATAAAGGTTGGTTTTTGTGTTTCTCTTTTGGGCAGCCTTTCTTCAAGAGCTGGTAGATCGGGATAACTCCAAGTTTGAGGAGTGGTGTGTGGAGATGGCCGAGATGCGCAGGCAGAGCGTGGACAAAGGCAGAGCGAAGCACGAGGAGGTGAAGGAGCTGTACCAAAGGTTGCCTGCTGGAGCTGGTCTGTGAGATATTCCAGGACAACACTATTGCATTTAATGCCTGGGGGTTCTGCTTTGTGCTTTGTGTTTATGAAAAACCCTTTTTCTCCTCCTAGAGGCCAGCTTAAACATTCTAAAATCACTATGTAAGCTGGCAGTAACAAGACATAGAGCAGCTCATGTTATTCCTTGTCACTCTCTTCTGTTGACTGAACGATAAATCCTAGGTCAGCACTCTATGTTCATGACCTTTAGAGACTTTTTTATTGTGGGCTGGTAAGACAGCTCAGGGGAACAATTGCTGGCTGCCAAGCCTGATGACCAGAGTTGGACTCCCAGGACACACATGCTGGGAGAGAACCGACTTCTGGCTCCTCTCTGACCTTTGCATGCTTGCTGGCCAGCCCCCTCTGTGTGCAAAGGCATATTGTGATAAAATTTCTTGAAGGATATTTTTGTATTGCTAAGTGTGGTGGTGTATGCCTTTAATCCCAGCACCCGGGGAGGCAGAGATTGTTGGATCCTTATTGGATCCCTGTGAGATAAAGGCCAGCCTGGTCTGTGTAGCAAGTTCCAGGCACATGCTTGGCTCTGGAGAGGCCCTGGATCATGAACCACCCACTCTGTGGTGCCATGATGTCTTACATACCTTGACCAACTAAATGATTATTGTTTTATATTGTCTTGTGAGCATTCTTTTGAAAGGCCACCTGGCCCTATAAATCCAAGTCTCACAAAAAACTACATCCCTTTGGCTGATGTTATTTAAACTTTAGATGCTCGAATTCTGGTTATATTTTTCATTCTATTATTATTCGGAACTCTTAACTTTGTTCTACTCAAAATCCAATGGTTTCTTTTTTTCTTTTTGTTCATTTGGAACCTCACTATAAACTCACTCATTACTTGGCTTTTTTCTAGATGGCCTTACTCAGTATCCCTGGGTGATCTCAAATTCACGACAGTCCTCCTTCCTCAGCCTCCTTTGTGCTGGGATTACAGGAGCCTCGACACTGTCTAGTCATTGACATTGGAAGAGCTGTCACCACAGCTAAGGCTTCCTTTCCCAGGACCCCAGCACACCAAAGAGAAAGCTGGAAGTGTTTGTTTTGATGATGAGTAGGGTGGTATGTCAGAAATGTGGCCAGTCTCTGCTAACTGTGAAGTCAAAAGTGGGGTTTTTTCCCCCCTAAACTTGGGATCTTACACTAATTCATAATCATTTAAAAATGTAAACAGCAAACTTCATTTGGAAGTTTTCGGTGGAATTCTAGTAGAGGATTGGACAGGTTAACTTTGACCCACCTGCCTTTGACTTCCAGTACATACTCATTGTATATCTTTATAATTATTGGACTTCCTCCTTTTTTCTTTTGGGACTAGGTCTCACCCTAGCTCAGGCTGTTTTGGAGCTCACCATGTAGCCCATAGGCCTCAAATGTGGGTGATTCTCCTGCTTCAGTACCTTGAGTACTGGAATTACATACAGATGGGAGCCACCAGTCCCAGCATCAAAAGCCAGATTCTTTTGGTTTAATGTTCAGCAACAGGTGTTGCCCTCTGTTCCTCTCTCACTGGATGTGGAGAAACAGAGCACCTGAGAATTATTCCTTAAATGGGAACAAGTGTCAATTCCAGTGTTCTTTGAAAAACTTACACTTAGTCAAAAGTTTACTCTGTGACTTTGTATGTGGAAGTAGCTGATACTTGGAGTCTTTTTATTTCCCTCAGACATTGGTCACCCCTATAAACCCCCCCTTTTTTTAAGATTATTTATTCTGAATGCAGTGTTTTGGCATGTAGATGGTTGTGAGCCACCATCTGGTGGCTGGGACTTAAACTCAGGACCTCTGGAAGAGCAGCCAGTGCTCTTGACCTGGGAGCCATTCCTCTATCTCCACACCCATTCTTATACCCAGTCTAAATCTGATAAACAGCACCGAATGAGGGAGGTGTTTTGAATATAATTGGCTATGGTAAGATTTTGGGGTATGGAATAATACTAGCTCTGGGGATTAAAAAAGGACAATGCACATTTAAGGCAGTCTTTCTACCTCTGAGCAGTATGCCTCACTAAAAGCACGTATTCCTTTTCATTTATTTACTGATGGTGCTGGGGATTCAGCCCAGGGCTTCACTCATACTAGGCAAATAGTCTACCATTGAACTCATCCCAGCCCTTGATATGCTCACATCTTATAGGATGCCACGACCTTTTTACCTGTTCCGTATCTTACGGTCTCCTCTTATATTGTTTGGATGTATAATTAACTTTTCTATATCTCTTTTCTTCCAAAAAGCTCAAAATGCTTCATATATCTTATCTTTTACACTCAGCAACATCTCTGTGAGGTAGGTAGAAGGCAGGTATTATTACCTTCATTTTGCAAATTAAAGATCTGAAGCATAGAGAGTTTAAGTGACTTGCTCGCGTTGAGTCTCTCAAGGCAGAACCTGGATTTGACTTTGGTCTCAACTGGCAGTTGCCATATCCCCCTGCAGCTGCTTAGTCCTGCCCTTTGCTGTCCAGTTTCAGCATAGAGGTGGACCTGACACTTCCAAATTTTGTTTTTTGTCAAAAAACATTGAAATGTGGCTCTGAGGAGTGTGAAACTGTTCAAAATGAGCTTTGCGTTAAAGTGTCTGCCCCTCAGATCTCGCCAGAAGTAGCACACGCTACAAATACATGAATTCAACCTCTGTGTGTTTTCTCCTATGTTTTATGCTGGGACTCACTGGAGATCTTTGTAAGTAATCAAAGCTGTCCCTTTATGTTTATTTTGCCCTTTGGAGAAAGCTGTGACTTCCTTTCCCCAAATCAAAATTCATTTTAAATGTCTGGTGTTCTTAATTTTTGAAATTGAAAATAAGTAATTCTGTTCTAGTGTACTTCTTCTAGAACTGACTTAAAATACATCATTTTATTGACATAAATAACAATGAAATGAATAGATGATAACACAGATGTTGGGGAATCATAAACTCTCTTAACACCAGCCTCACCTTGGAGTCAGGAAGATTGAGTGTTTACATGAGCTTGTGAAGTGTGGTTGTAGCTGACAAGGTTAATTTGTAACTCAGAGCTTGATCTTAGCTTCTCATTTTAATCTTCAGATATATATCACATCCTTGTGCAGAGTAAGGGATGAGGTGATGATTTTCCATCCAGGACACAGGTGTCCTCAGGAAGCTCTGCTTTGCTCTCAAAGCAAGGCACTTCTCTCTGTGGATGCCTCTTGTAGAATGTGGCTAATAATACCCGCCGATCCCATAGGGCTCTGTGCACATGTGTTTCCATGCACAGCGTGAGCTTACATGAGTGCTAGCTAACTGTGATTCGTAGTCGCACATTAGACACTTCCCAGTGATTCTTCTGATCCTGCTGTCTTTGGATACAATTTGCACTGTCTTGAGGACAATGACTTGTATCACTTAGTCCAAAAACTGTAAAAATACATAGTTTCTTCCCATTCCTTTTTTCTCAGAGCCCTATGAGTTTGTCTCTCTTGAATGGCTGCAAAAGTGGTTGGATGAATCAACACCCACAAAACCTATTGATAATCATGCTTGCCTATGTTCCCATGACAAGCTCCATCCAGATAAAATATCAATTATGAAGAGAATATCGGAATACGCAGCTGACATTTTCTACAGCCGATATGGAGGAGGTCCAAGATTAACTGGTGAGTCAGTGTATCATCTCTGCTTACACAAGAAACAGTAAGGCCCGGAGTTCATACTCTGATCTTTGAGATCAAGACTTTATGACAACATGAAGTAAACTATTAGACCGAGTATTCCTACTTCTTGCAAAAGGGAGCAGAAGTAAAGCTAGGTGACCGAAGGAGTGCAAACAAAACGGGTTCCCTTGAAAGAGAATCATCTGCAGTAGTTTACCATCTCATGCAATCATCTTAAAAGCTTGAACCTTTGTTTGGTTCATTCCAGTCTTTGTGTAAGATTGGGAGATTGTTTATTAGTTTATAAATCTGTTTTGCTCTCCATTGAATGCACCACTGCTATATAGCCACAAATAGCCAATCTGTTCATAGTTCTGGCTTTTTTTTTTTTTTTTTTTTTTGGTTTTTCGAGACAGGGTTTCTCTGTGGCTTTGGAGGCTGTCCTGGAACTAGCTCTTGTAGAGACCAGGCTGGTCTCTAACTCACAGAGATCCGCCTGCCTCTGCCTCCTGAGTGCTGGGATTAAAGGCGTGTGCCACCAACGCCCGGCCTCTGGCTACTTCTTAAGTAATTTTTTACTTCTGTTTTTAAATTTGTTTATTTAGTGTGTCTTTGTGTGGGTGTTTTGTTAGCTTGTATGTCTGTACTACATGGCCCATGGTTTTGTTTTTTTGATCAGTAGACCAGTCTGGCCTTGAACTCAGAGCCAGAGCCTCTGCCTCCCTAGTGCTGGGATTACAGGCATGAACCAGCACTGCCTCCTTCAGCAACCACAACCGGGTTGGGTTTCTTTTTAACTGGCAACATGGGTCTCTTTCTAATATCCAACAAGGCTAAGAGAATTTCATGACCTCCAAGTTCCCCTTTCCTGAAAGTAAGTAATATTTTTGGTGATACACAGCATTTTATTACATGCTCTAGACCTTTCTGTGTACACAGGATATTTGCATTCTAAAATATTCATCATTCAGATTTTAAAAACTATGCAATGAGGAGCTCTATTTTTTGAAAATCTTTTCTTGGTATGGATTTGGAGGGGGTGGGTGGGTTTCAGACAGGGTTTGTCTGTATCCCTGGCTGTCCTGGAAACCATTTTGTAGATTAGGCTGACCTTGGACTCCGAGATTGACTTGCATCTGCCTGCTGATCGCTAAATCTTCCTGGCTAAATCTCCTTTTTATGAGTGTTTTGGCTTCATGTATGTCTGTATACCATGTGTGTTCCCTGGTGTAAAGGAGAGCAGAAGAAGGCATCAAATTCTCTGGGACTGGATGTGAGCCACCGTGTGGGTGTTGGAACTTGAACCCGGGTCCCCTGCAGGAACAAGAGCTCTTAACTACTGAGCCATCTCTCCAGCTCCTGCAAGCTCTTTCAGAGTATTACATTTCAGGGACAGTGCCATGGGTCAGCAGGTGAAAGCTCTTGCCACAAGCCTATTTACCTGAGTGATTCCTGGGACCCCTGTGATGGAAGAAAACTGGTTCCATGTGGTCCTCAGATGGTTATGTGGCACATGCATATGAACATACATTATATACCCACAGTAATAATAAAGGAAATTTAAACAGGAAAGAATAGCATTGCATGTGATTTCTAGAGCAGCTATGTTCCTGTGTCATGTCCTCTATTCTCATCTCTTCAACATTCTGTGTTTGTAAGGTCATGTCCACATGAAGACCATTATATGTACAGTTGTCAGATATGTTGACCCTCCATCCCCTAGTGAGATTTATTTGATAACTTTACAAGTATCCCAGCCTTGAGATAAATTTTGCTGTATGCTAGTGTTGACTATAGTTGGTAAACACTCTGTCTTCATTATGTAGAAAACTCAATGTATGGGTATCTAGATCAACAAAATCAGGATATATAAAGGCTGTCCTGTAAAAATTAGCCAGGTGGTGGTGGCGCACACCTTTAATCTCAGGCAGAGATAGGCAGATCTCTGAATTTGAGGCCATCCTAGTCTACAGAGAGTCCCAGGACTGTTACACAGAGAAACCCTGTCTCAAAAAATAAAATGTGATTTTGCCTTTAATCCCAGCACCCAAGAGGCAGAGGCAGGCTAGCTTGTCTACAAAATGAGTTTCGGGCCAGCCGGGGCTGTTATACAGGGAAACTGTGTCTCAGGGATAAAAATTGTGGTTTAGATTTAAAATTCTTGTTTATTTTGTTCAGTACTGGAAACAGTTTCATAGGAAGTCTGTGAGAATGAAGTTTATTTTTGATGTCTTTCTTGCCTTCAGTGAAAGCCCTTTGTAAGGACTGTGTTGTAGAACGCTGCCGTGTTCTGCGGCTGAAGAGCCAATTGAATGAAGATTACAAAACCGTCAACAATTTGCTGAAAGCAGCAATGAAGGGGTACGTTACACAGAATGCTATTTATGTGAGCTTACAACGTTGCCAGGCGGTAATCAGGCAGCTGCTTACTCATTCTTAGGAAAGAGTTGGGCTCTGAGAAGGTGGATAGCAGAGCACTTCTCAAGTAATGGTTCATTCACATCTGTGTTCCTAGGCTGAGTGAGGCAGGAAGACAGCCTGAGGCTATGTGAGTGAGTGGGTATCCTTTATTTTCCTTTTTAAAAATAACTTTTTTTAAAAAATTAATTTTCTCCTACTGATGTTTTGCTATATGTATGTTTGTGAGGGTGTTGGAACCAAAAGTTACAGACAGTTGTGAGCTGCCATGTGGGTACTGGGTATTATTAACCCAGGTCCTCTGGAAGAGCAGTCAGTGCTCTTAACCACCGAGTCATCTCTCCAGCCCCAAGTCTTATTTTTTTTTTAAATATTCATATGTGTGTACGTGTCTATTTATGTTTGTGGACATGTGCATGTGTCCTGAAACATCTGTAGACATGAAAGAGGACAACTTTTGTGGTTCTCTCCTTCTACCATGTAGGTCTGAGGGATTGAACTCAGGTCCCTGCCATGCTTGGCAGCAAGTGCCTCTGCTGCTGAGCCCAGGAGTCTTTTGATAAAGGAAATAGTGTTTTTTTTTTTTTTTTAATGTGGCTGGGGCAGTGGTCTTGTGGAGATTCGTTCAGATCCTTAATACCCCACATACAGAGTTATGGTAATCCCAAGAGGCAGAGATGGGGGTTCCTGGGACAAGCTGGAACCAATGGTCTCCAGATAAAGAGACCCTTCCTTAGTAAATAAAGAGGAAGAGCCTTGACTTTGTACCTCCAAACACCTACAGTGTATCCCTATACATTCCAAAATACCACATACACATTTTTTAGTTTAATTTAAACTTTTTAATTTATGTGTGTAGGTGTTGTGTCTGCTTTTAAATCTGTGTATGCCTGTTACCCCATGAGGCTACAAGAGGGCATTGAATCCCTGGGGTCTAGAGGACAGACAGTTGTGAGCTACTATATGGGTATAGAAATCGAGCACAGGTCCTCTGAAAATACAGCCATTGCTCTTAATCATTGAGCCATCATTCCAGCTCTTAAACTAGAATTTTATTTGAGACAGGGTTTCTCTGTGTAGGACTGGTTGTCCTAGGTCTCTGTAGACCAGATTTGCCTGTCTCTGCCTCCAAAGTGCTAGGATTAAAGGCATACACCACCATCCCTCCAGCTAAATTAAATTTAAAAAATAATAATTTATTTTTATTTGTGTATTGGTGTTTTGCCTGCATGTGTCTGTGCGAAGGTGTCAGATCTTGGAGTTACAGTTATAACCTGTCGTGTGGATGCTGGGAATTGAACTGGGGTCCACTGGAAGAACAGCCAGTGCTTTTAACCACTGAGCCATCTATCTAGCCCCAAAATTAGCATCTTTAAAAAAAAATGTTTACAGTGCTTACTCTATAAAAATAAATTGAGCAAGACTCAGCCTTCACTCTTATTTGTTAGAGAGGAAGGAGAGAGGTCTGCGCTTGACTGTGTGAGCTGGTCCTCAGGATTGGAGTACAGAAAGCTTGTTTGGAGAACCATCCCACAGGCCTGGGAAGGTAGTGTCTCCTTTAGTAAGGATGAAGGGAAACTCAGGGTTGTCCTTAAGCAATTAGCGCACAGGGTGTTGGAGTGTGTGAAACCCCACTCCACAACGCACCTCTAACTCAACCAAGAGTCATTAAGTGATGGCACTTGCTGTGCCTGTGCCAGTTTTTCCTGTTAGTATCCTCCATCAGACCTAAGCCTGGTTTCCCTTTGGGCCCATTCTACAAGGCCTACTCTGTGACCTGAGTATATATAGTCTGTGGCATCAATAAGGGTGTGTATATCCAAGTGTTTTTGTGCCAACTTAAAAGATACAGTTGTGGGCTGGATAGATGGCTCAGAGGTTAAGAGCACTGGCTGCTCTTCCAGAGATCCTGAGTTCAATTCCCAGCAACCACATGGTGGCCCATAACCATCTGTAATGAGATCTAGTGCCCTCTTCTGACATGCGGATACATGCAGACAGAACACTGTATACATAATAAATCTTTAAAAGTTTATTAAAAAAGAAGATACAGTTGTGTGTGCTGAGAGGCGTGATCAAGTGGAAGAAGGTTGGATATGATTGGATGGATTTTAATTTGATGTTGAGAAGGAGAGCAAGATTTAGAATGGAAACAAAGCAATAGACACCTGCAGCTCGGTAGTGAGGCGTGAAAATGGCTCAGATCAGAATTTGGATTAAAAGCAGTTGTGTGCACAGTAGTTGATTGGAGTGTTTGTGATCGTTTTAGTTGTGGGCTTAAGGGCAAGACAGAAAAGAAAGGAACACTGGGAATCACCTGCTGGATTTAACAGTCTCTCTTTTCCACAGCAATGATGGATTTTGGGTGGGAAAGTCTTCCTTACGCAGCTGGCGCCAGCTGGCTCTTGAACAACTAGATGAGCAAGATGGTGAGGCGGAGCAAAGCAACGGGAAGATAAACGGGAGCCCCTTCAATAAAGGTGACAGATGGGGCTTCAGTGCCTGCTTCCGACTTAGAGCCTTTGTAGTTTGTTGTGGGGAGAGGGACTTTGCTGTCTGCCACAGGGTTCCTCCTGCCACCTCAGCAGCTGCTGGTTTTGCTCTGCAGATTTGTGTGCCTAGCCCTTCTTTGAACATGGGGATTCATGTGTGCTTGCAGAGTTGGAGTGTCTCTATGATAAAGCCATGCTGTGGTTCCTGTGCCCATGTCCCCACCAATTTGGGGTACCTGGTGAGGAGCCTATGGCAGCAGCACTGTCCTCAGCTTGCTCGGGCTGTCTGTGGGAAATATTAGGCCCCGCCCTTCAATCTTCATTTTCAGCAAAATTGCCTCAATAAACATTATGCCTATGTCTCAGAAACAGCTAAGGGCAAATGATAGATGTTCAAGCTTTTGAAATTCCACTCACAGACTCAGCAGAGCCCTGGGGGCATCTCCTTTCCAGCAGTGCAGAAGTCATGTCAGTTCTGCTGCAGCTCAAAGAGGACGGTATTGGGAAAGCTCTGCAGACTGGAGCGCAACACAGTTTGGCTTTAGGATAGCAGCCATTGACCCATGTGACCCCTTTGCCCACTGCCTCCAGGAGCATAGGGTTTGAACAGCTTATTGCTTGTCTACTGCTTTTTGAGCCCTGCTTTCAGACAGGAAGTCATGTTATCATAAACCTACCAGTAAACAGACACCAAAGGAAATTAGGGCATTTAGAATGACGTAGGTCTAAACCGTAGACAGAGTGAGTATTCTTATGTTGACAGCCCATTTTACCTACAGTGCTCTTCCTGCCTTCATCTCCCAAGTACTGGAACCATAGATGGGTGCCTCCTCACTTGGCAGTAAATGTTCTTTATGTAGACTGAGTGTGTTTAAACTGTATCCTTACTTAACCTGAATGCCAAGGAAAAACCAGTCTAGTATCTACGTGTTTAGGTTTTCTTCCTTGATTGATTTCCAGTGTCTAGAACAATGACACTGTAGACAAGCAAGGACAAGGAGGTGTTGACAGTAAGTAACACAGACTTCCTAAGCATCACATATGTATTTCATGTAAGGTTTCTGTTCAACCTCCTAAGGGGAGGGAGATGAAAATAACACATGACAGGCAGATGACACTTGACCAGAGCTAATAGGATATGTAAATTTTCAGCACATTTATTTTATTGGATATACTGTTTTTTTGTTGTTGTTTTTCCAGACAGGGTTTCTCTGTGTAACTCTGACCTGGAACTCACTCTGTAGATGAGGATGGCCTTGAACTCAGATGTACCTGCCTCTGGCTGGTGTGATTTTTTTTTTCTTGTTTAAGACAACTTCCTGCCGAATCCCAGCACTAGGGAGTCAGAGGCAGGCGGATCTCTGAGTTCGAGGCCAGTCTCCAAAACAAAACAGAGAAAACCCTGTCTCGAAAAACAAACAAACAAAAGAAGACAACTTCCTTCTATTAGCTGGGTAGTGGTGGCTCACACATTTGATCCCAGCATTTGGGCTCAAAGGCAGTCAGATTGCTGTGAGTTTGAGGCCAGCGTAGTCTGCAGAGCAAGTTCCAGCACGGCCAGGGCTACACAGAGAAAACTTGTCTATGAGTAGGGCAGAAGAGACAACTTCCCACACAGGCCAAGAAGGTCCTCATCTTCCCACCTCCATTGTCCCCAGTGCTGGGATGACAGTGTAGGCCACCACACCAGGTTTGCTGCATAACTCTTCAGAATTGCTAACTATTATTGAGGCTTTTCCCTTTTCCTTTTAAGGGAAAGGAAATACAGTCCTACTCTGCACGGCTATACAAGTTTCAGTTGGCTAGATTTTTTTTTTCAGAATTATTTCAAGTTTTCTTTGCTTAAAGTTCTGCTGCTTTGAACTTTTAACAACAGCCAGAGCTGTAATTGTCTTTCTTTTGATTAGATGAATCAAAAGAAGAAAAAAAAGAAGAGGAGGAGGAATTAAATTTTAATGAAGACATCCTGTGTCCTCATGGTAAGCTGGAAGCTTATGTATGATGTCTATTTGGCATCAGCTCCCATTGAGGTTTGTCCTACCCTTCCCCTAAATATCTTTTTGAGTTTCATTATGTAGTCCAGGAATTCTGCCTCTACCTCACAAGTACTGGGGTACAGGTATGTGTCAGCACACCTTGGAAATCTTTTCATCAAATATTTCAGAGCTCATGCTAGTTTCCAGAATGTCATGCTTTTTTTTTTTATTAGGTAGCTTTTACCCTTCTGATCCAGTTTGTCAGTACTTTGGCATTGGTGTGATCCCAGTAAATTGGCTTGTGTACTTGCAGGAACTCCCAAGCCTGCTGGCCCCACTGTTTCTTTCCTTCCCTGACCTGGAAAATGCAGACCTGTTTTCATTGTTGTCAGACTGCCCGCAGTAATATAGAACATTTGCTTAACCTTCTCTGCTCTATTTATGTCCTCCACCCTCAGTCCTGAGGACTTATCTTGTCAATTTTGTGACTTGGTTTTCTCTGTGATTAAAGGAGGATGCTGTCTATAGGGTACGAAAGCTAAGAATTAACTACCTCTTAGAGTAATGGTAGTATGTAGTTTTCTGCTTATTTTTCAAAAATGTTCATTCTTTGTAGTCTAAGCTTACATTGAACTTGGAGAGTTACAGTGTTGGATTACATGTGTGTGTTTGTAGGGGGCAGAGGAACTTTTGATGGTTGTGGTGGAGTACCCCTTTGATCTCAGTGCTCAGGAAAAGCAGATGATCATTGTTAGATGGAGGCCATCCTGGTCCACATACCAAGCTCTAAGCCAACCAAGACAGTACCACAAGTTTTCAATTCGATTCTTGATTTTCTCCTTTAGTTATTTATTCATTTATTTCTTGAGAAAACTCGGTAGCTCTGGCTAGTTTCCTACTTAATCCTGGTGACTCAGCTCCTGGGTGCTGAGATTTGAGTGTGACGACATCAGCTAGACTTGCATCCAGTCTTCTTAGCCTTTGGGTGCCCTCCACCAGGTCTGTGGAGACAGGTCTGCAGCATAGTAAATCTGGTTGCATTTTTAAATTTTATTTTATTTTTTAACATGTGTCTGTGTGAGTATGTGTCCTTGAGTGCTGGTGTTCACCAAGGCCAGAGGCCTTGGAGTTGGTGGAGCAGTAGTCACAGGTGGTGAAGCTACCTGATGTGCATGCTGGGAACCTGTCTCCAGTCCTCTTCAAGAACAGTGTGTTCTTTTAACCACTGAGCTCTTTCCAGCTCCTGGAAACTCCTTTTCAAAAGTTTGTTCTCAGCTTTGTAAACTTGGTTATTATGCAACGGGACATTGCTTCTGTGTAAGACAGAAAGAAGACAGTTTCATACAGTTGGTTTTCTCCTTCAGCTCTTACATGATTTCCAAGGTCAAACTCAGCTTGGCAGACTTGCATGGCTGGTGTCTTATCTGGTCATCCATCTTTCTTGTCCCTATGGTTGCTTCTTGACTCTGGCGAACTTAGCCCAATCTGCTTGTGTTGCATACATCCTGTGTGTGTGGGGGGGGTACACTTGTTTATACATGGGTGCTCATGTAATAGCCTCATCTATAGCTAAGAGCACTTGCTCTTACAGAAGACCCACATGATTTCCAGTACTCACATGATTGTTCACAATCTGGAACTCCACTTCTAGATTACCCAATGACCTTTTCTGGTTTCCATGGGCACCATATACATATGTGGTACACAGGCATACATGCAGACAAAACATTCATATACATATTTTATAACAAATTTTTATGTATTTCCAATATTCTATGCATATTTGATTGGTTCTGATTTTGTGTAAGTTGATCATAGGAGTTTAACCTAGTAACGATTTCTTCCTGTCATACAATTCATCATTTGTATGATGCTGTGTCTGTTTCATCTTGCTTGTATTCTTTATTTTTTTTCAATGATTTTATGTTCATTGGTGTTTTGCCTGCATGTATATCTGTTTAAGTGTCAGGTCCCCTGGAACTGGAATTACAGACAGCTGTAAGCTGCTCTGTGGATGCTTGGGATTGAACCCAGGTCAATTCCTGGAAGAGCAGTCAGTGCTCTTGACTGTTGAACCATCTCTTCAATCCTCATCTTGTATTCTTTGTAAGTGATAACCTTTGTGCTGTCAGTGTTTTGGGGGACAGAAATAGGATGCATTCATCCCATTTTCACCCCCAGAATTGGAGAGTTCTAGGGACCTCAATTCAGGCCAGTCTGAAGTTCATGGCGTAATACATCAAAGAATTTTCAGGCTAGCCAGTTTGGGCCTTATATGTATTTTATCTCTGCCTGTGTATAAGCCCTTTGCATACTGGTGCTCGTGTAGGCCAGAAGATGGCACTATATCCCTTGATACCACCTTGTGATGCTGGGAACTCCACCCAAGTCCTCTGCAAGAACAGCAATTGTGCTTAACGACTGAGCCACCTCTCCAGCCCCTGGGCTTTAATCTTTAAAAGATTTCTTAAATATTGTAATGTGTGTGGGAGTTCTCATATGGGTGATGACTAGAATCCCTTTGAGGAAATAGATCTCCTGCCTTTACCTGGGTTCCAGGGATTCAATTCACATGTCAGTGTAGCGCAGTGAATAACTTACTCTCTGACCGTTTCATTGACCAAGTAAGTTTTCACACTGTGACCTGGTTCCTTTGGTGATGAGTTTATTAAAGCAAAATTCAGTTGTTTTGGGGATGGGACATGGGGCCTCATGTATGGTAGACAACACTTAAGCTGCCTTGCACGTGAACATGCCATCCTCCTGCCTCAATCTTCACAGGCACCAGGATTGAAACCCATCCTTGCTTTAAAAATTCTTGTCTATGCTGGGAAGATATTTTCTTTACCTGTTTGTCTTCAGTCTTCCTGTTTAGACAGTCCCGCTTTGTAGTAGAGGCTGACCGTTTTACCTTTGATCTCCTCAGGCTCTTAAAGACATTCACCACCATACCTGACTTAAGATAGTCTTTCCTTGAGATTATCCAAAGGACCCAGAAGAGTTGAGGGGTGGAATTAACTCAAGATTACATTTTGTTTTATAGACATGACAAAGATATCTTAGTTACTCAGATACTGTGGTGGCTCCGGTCAAATGTGGCTTCGTTGCTTGGTAACAAATCTGTAGGTACCTGACCAGTGGGCATGAAAACAACTTGTGTGTGGGTCTCTGAGGGATGTCAGTCAGCCTTATTCACTTGTTTTACTTTGGAATATCTGAAAAAAGAAAAAAAGAAAATAACCAGAAGTCAGGGCAGAGTCCCTGACCCAAACTGGTTGCATGTGATTGAACAGTAAGAGGCTCAGTGAAATTACTGTGGTTCTGGTCATAGCCCTCCTGACATTAGGAACGTGGCAGAGTGGCCCTGACTAGTATTTTTCAAAGATAATTGCAGTTGGGTGTAGTACCCCACATCTGCCATCCTAGCAGAGGAGCTTAAAGGCCATCCCAATTGCATAGGTACATCTTGCTCTGAGGAAGTTAAGACAGACTGAAGAGACGGCTCAGTGCTTAAGAGCATTGATTACTCTTCCAGGGGATCCTTTTCCTCCTTCTGACTTCATTGGCATCAGTCACCCATATGTTGCACAGACATATGTGCTGGCAAAGCAGCCAAACACATAAAGTTTGAAAGAGAAAGCCAAAACCAATTGCAAATAGGGAACAAATTTGGAGGTTGAGTGGCTAAGGCTTAGATTAGTCAGGACATTGCATTATTGTTTAACTTTGATTTAAAGTGAGCAATCTGAGTACAGACAGCCTTGAATATACTGCTTCACTGCAAGATGCTTTTAGAAGCCAAGCATAGTCTTTTAAGGGAATTAGGAGCTTTGCCTGTGGTGGAGACAAAATGCTCTTAACCCCTAAGGGATCTGGGGGTAGGATCAGATCCTAAGGTAGGTGGAAACCCGAAGTCCAATGAAATTAAACATTTAGCGTGTGTGGTACCCTGTGTGTTCTCATGCTACCTCTGCAGCTGGAGCCAGTGCTGAAACTCGGAAATGAACCAGAGGTTACTGAACAAAATGAAGAGAGAGCACTGTAGGCTCTCCATCAGTATGGGTCATAGGGATTAGGGACAAGTGATGTGGCTCTGAGTGAAAATGCTTTTGTTTTGAGTCTGACCCCCAATACCCACAAGGCAGAAGTTGTCCTCTGACCCGCACTCACGCATGTACCCACACAAGTACACAGAAATAAATATACGTACTTTAAGAATATTTTAGAAATAGATGTTACCTTCTCTCATCCTTGTCTTTAAGCAAATTTTTTCTCTTTTAATTTAGGGGGGTTAAGCATATCTGAAAATGAAAGGAAGCTTGTTTCTCAAGAAGCTTGGAACAAACTGCGGCAGTATTTCCCAAAGGCCCCTGAGTTCCCAAGTTACAAAGAATGCTGTTCCCAGTGCAAGGTACAGGGCTCCTGACCTCTGTGAGAATGGCGTGTCCCTCCCAGGGGACCGATGGGTAGTGGAAGATCCCTTACAGCTTCCATCTTTTTCAGATACTGGAACGGGAAGGGGAAGAAAATGAAGCCTTACATAAGATGATCGCAAATGAACAAAAGACTTCACTTCCGAATTTGTTCCAGGACAAAAATAGACCGTGTCTCAGTAACTGGCCAGAGGTACCGTGATTACCACAGAGAGGAAATAAGGTCCCACAACTTTAAAGGCCTCAGCCAAATGTCTTTCCCATCATCCGGCCCACTTCCCACTCACATCCTTTCCCAATTTTGAGATGTACTAGCCTACCGGTTCCATTTAACGAGCAGCACAGCTTGACTGGGGAAATCCCATTGTACTAGCAAGGGCTTTGTTGAAAACAGTGTGGTTCACACTGGGCGTGGCAGCTCACACGTATGAGCCCAGTGGTATGGGAGCTTGAATGGGGAACACCATTGTACTAACAAGGGCTTTGTTGAAAACAGTGTGGTTCACACTGGGCGTGGTAGCTCACACTTATGACTCCAGTGGTGTGGGAGCTTGAGGACACCCTGAGCTATGTAGTGAGTTCCAGGACAACATGTTAAAGAGAAAATCACCTTGAAATTTCAAAGGGAAGAGAGGGGACAGAGATGGAAGTAATACACTCTGTGCTTTTTGTTTCCAGGATACGGACTCTCTCTATATTGTGTCACAATTCTTTTTAGACGAATGGCGGAAATTTGTTAGGTAAAAAATAGAAATTTCTTCCTTTACTTTCTGTGGGTTGATTCTGGTATTTTTGAAAAATTCATGGATTCTCTTAATGGTGCGTTCTTGATTACTTTTCTTGGCACACACAGATGATCTTTTCTACCAAATTAAGCACAATTACCTAATTAAACCCAAAACATATGTTTAATTAATAATATCTATTTGCATTTATCTCTAGTTTAAGAGTATTATTTAAGAGAAATTGAGGGGGGGAATGTTGTGGGGCCAGGTGTGGTGGTACATGCTTTTAGTTATGGTGTTTTTGGTTTTTGGTTTTTTTCTAGACAGGGTTTGTCTGTGGCTTTGGAGGCTGTCCTGGAACTAGCTCTTGTAGACCAGGCTGGTCTCGAACTCACAGAGATCTGCCTATCTTTGCCTCCTGAATGCTGGGACTACAGGCGTGCGCCACCACCCACCAGTACATGCTTTTAATCCCAGTACTCAGGAAGCAGAGGCAAGCAGGTCTCTTGAGTTTGAGGGCAGTCTGGTCTACACAGTGAATTCCAAGACAGCTAGAGCTACACAGTGAGACCCTGTCTGAAAAACAAATAAATAAATACTGTGGACTATGGAGATGCATGACTCGGGTGTTAGAAGCACACATGGCATGAGCTTTTGGGTCTGCAGAGCCTGTTGTTCCCAGAACCAGTTTGCTAGTTTATAGCCCATGTAGGTGATCTCTGGCTTCAAGTTAGAGGCTAGGGGGAAAGTGATGAAGACTCTTGATACCAATCTTGGGTTTTCATGTGCTTGTGATATGTACCATTACACACATGTGCTTGCACACATATGAGCATGCATACATATTATCCTCATCCCCCCATGGACACATGAAACCCCCCCCAATTAAAATCTATCCAGGTATGGTGGTACACAAGTCCCAGCACTTGGGAGATAGGGCAGGCAAATCTCTATGATTTTAAGGCCAGTCTAGTTTTGTCTACAAGAGAGTTACAGTCTAACACAAAGTACATAGTAAGACCCTGTCTCAAAAAACAAACACCACTGGGGTATGGTGGCTCATACTTTAATCCCAGCACTTGGGAGGTAGAGGCAGGAGGGTCGTTGTTAGTTCAAGACCATCCTGGCCTACAGAGAGAGTTCCAGAATGGGCTCCAAAGCTACGCAGAGAAACGCTGTCTCAAAAGACAACAAAACTGAAAATAAATAATGAAAATAAAGATCTGTCTTCATGCAGTAGTGTTTGCATTTGCCTCCTGTCTTGTTTGATAGAAAGCCTACACGGTCTACTCCTGTGTCATCAATTGGAAATGCTGCTCTTCTGTGTCCACATGGAGGACTCATGTTTACATTCCCTTCCCTCACCAAAGAAGACTCTAAACTGTGAGTTTCTTCTTCGTGTGGCTGTCTGTAAACAAGTGTGTTTGGCGGTTTTTGTCTGGCGTGAAAGTCTGTTGGGAATGCGCTGAATTACTTCACTATATTCCTTCTAAATATGACCTATGACTGGACACTTGTCTTTAAAAGAGATGAATTGACTGCTTTTTCAGGCAGTATATGTAGCCACCCAGGGAAGTTTGTTCTTCATGTCTTATTTTCCCATTGTCACCTGGTTGCCTGGTTGTTGGTGTCCAGCAGTGTGTCTCTAGGTCAGTCAACTTCATTACCAATCACACAGTCAGGGTAGCTGTGATTGTATTAGGTTCGTGCAAAAGGAATTACAGTTTAAGCGTGAATTTTAAATCAAAATTATGTTCAAACATCTTTATTAATCAATTTAGGAACCATTACAAGCAACATTTTTGCCAGCAAGAAATTAAATCTAGCTGGGCGGTGGTGGCACACAACTTTAATCCCAGCACTTGGGAGGCAGAGGCAAGTGAATCTCAGTGTGTTTGAGGCCAGTCTGATCTACAGAGCGAGTGCCAGGATAGGCTACAAAGCTATATAGAGAAACCCTGTCTCGAAAAACAAAGCAAAAAACAAAGAAATCAAGTCTATTCCATTAGCTTAAAACTCTGTACTTCTGGTTTTAACTTACTCTTACAAAGAAAGCATTTTGGTAGTGGATGTGTTTTTCTCTGTGACAGAAGTCAAGATGCTTGAAGGAATCGTAGTCAGTTGAAGTTGGTGGATGTGACACAGCTTTCCAGCCCTGTTGATTCAACTCTTGAAGTTGTGTGGTTGGGCATTACAGAGAGCTAGGCCCTTTCTGTTGCTTGGTCTGGTGCATGATATGGATTTGTTGAGTGTGGTTCTCGGGGTGAGGGTTTTGTGGGCTTTCTGAAGTTGCAGTGGATCAGACCAACAGTAGACACCAAACAGTGACCAGACCTTTGTGGTGCAGGTTTGGCTTTGGATTTTTCAAGTCAGTCATTGAACTGATTGTTAACCAGTTGTCCTACACAGTTCCCATTTTGGATTGAGAAATGATTCTTCGTTGCATAAAATAAGATAGGACAGTAGTCATTCTCCACACACAAATACACCCACACACACCCACACCCAACCACCCCTACCTTACAAGGCACCCAGTTACCTAGCCATTTCACCTTTCCTGTTTGCTTCCAATAGTAGAATAATAGTCCACATTGAGTTCATTGGCGACTTCTGACTGCTCAAGGACCAACCTCAGTGGTTGACCCAAGTGGGTCATCATTGTCAGCTACCAGTGGCCAACTGTTCTTATCTTCAGGAGTTCTTCTCTCCTTTGCATAACCTTTTGAATTTCCACTGCACTGTACATTCTTAGTTCTTTGAACAAATGCTGTGTTGGTTGCGAGTTGTCTCTGCTGCCTTACGACCTATAAAAAGAAAGTTGCTTGAATTTAGTTTTTGTCTTAACATTTCCATAGTATAAAATAAGGAAAATTGATGGCAATAAATCCCTAGCAAAATACAAAGTGAGAAATGTACATTCAAATGATGTATAATATTACTACATTAATTAAAAATGTTTCCTCGTATCAAATGGCCATTCAGCAATGCAAAAACCACAATTGCTTTTGCACGCACCTAATAGTTGTCTTTTTCTACAGCTGTCAACCTTTAGAGAGAAGAGAAGGAGGCTGGCCCACTGCAGCACATAATAAGTAAATATAAGAATTTAAAAAATCCCCTGGAATGAAGCTTGACTATAGTTTATTTATATTTGAATGGTTTTTTTTTAGGTCATTTAAAGGAACTCGGTGTTAATATATAATTTCCTTTTAGACTTCTCATTCTTTCCATTATTGTGTTGCCAATGTGACCATTAGACATTGTCTTAGAGCTGGGGATGTTGCTGAGTCACTAGAGTGCTTGCCTAGCATATGTCAGGACCTGAGACAACTCAAGTACAATTGAAGGCCCCTAAGTACTTAGCTTCCTTTTAATTTCCATTTTTCTCTCCTTCTGTCTTGCAGTAGCTACTGTCTAAATTTGAGTCATCTGTCTCAGAAAGTCATTTTAAAAGATGCATACTGAATCATAGGCAGGACAATCACAAGTTTTGGGCCAACCTCAGCCAAACGTTGAGACCTTGGCTTAAAACCCAAAGTAGAATTAATATGTACATAGTTGAATGTATTGCACATTTAGTTGTATATTTAATGCATTTTCTATAGACAGACTTTTCCGTACAAATCCTCCTGTGGCTAACTTACTTTACTCACGTTGTGAGTATTGATTTAGCAGACCTGTCCATACAGTTTCATTGTTGCTCCTGTTTCATATGTGATGAGTCAATCCCCTCATGTTTCTTTGCAATAAATAGTTGGTGGCATTGATTTTGTTGCTCTCCACGTGTCTTAAGGCATGTTGTTTCTTGTTTTTTGTTTTTTGTGTTTTTTTTGCACAGTATAGCTCTCATATGGCCCAGCGAGTGGCAGATGATTCAAAAGCTCTTTGTTGTGGATAAAGTCATCAAAATCACGAGAATTGCAGTGGGAGATGCAAGCCCTCCTGAAGTACAGTATATTTCTGAGCCTAGTAAGTTTTCCTTTCTTTTACTAAAAGTTGACGGTTTAAGAGGGAAGGGAAGGGTCTGTCAGTAAAGACTATGGAGCAGCTCAGACGCTTCTGGCAGACCTGTGAGCCGTCGTTTTAGTTACAGGCAATACACAGATTTCTTCATCATTTACCTGCAGCCTTGACACACCAGTTACTGAGTTCGCTGTGTAGTAACTGATGTCGAGGTTTTTGCAGCAATCCTTAAGTTTTTCTGCTCTGCTCTGTTCTAGATCTCTGTCCAGATTGCAGAGAAGGCCTGCTGTGCCAGCAGCAGAGGGACCTACGAGAGTATACCCAAGCCACCATCTATGTCCACAAAGTTGTGGACAACAAAAAGGTACCAATTCTTCTTGTGGCCATGACAAGATGTAGACCATCAAACTTGAACATTGAAAAAGAGTAGGAGAATTTCTATTGTTGTCTGACTTCTGTTTTAAAAAATTGTCCTGCCTGTTGGGTTTAGATATGATGGCAACATAGCAAGCCAGGAAAAGCCAGGTTCAGCCTCAGTGTTGATCTGAATGGCCGGTGAAACTGGAAGGTGTGAATTCAGAGCATTCTTTCCATATTAGTGTTGGCTTTGAGAATAGAGCATGAACATCTATCAGTTGGATTCCAGGTTCTAGATAACTAAAGGCAGATACTAAGTGCATTGTTTTGGAATGCTACCTTCCAAATTAATGCATTACAGATAATAGAGTTCTATTTCACAGATTAAAACAAAGGCCTTTATTTCCAAATATGCTGAGAAAAGGAACATAATATAAGCATCTCCACTTTCCCCCAGGATTTCCTCAACCCTTTTGACCTTCATCCCATTTACATAGTAGAAGGAACAGCCATTATTTAATTTGAGTTTATTAGCTGTGTCCAGAGTGTTGTGCAGAAGAGCATATCTTTTGTCTGTTTCTCAGTCCCTATGTCAGGCAAGTCATAACCTATAACTCGAGTTCCAGGGGATTTGATATTTCTGGCATCTGAGGCGTGTGAACTGTATGCAGATACACACACATAGATACACAATTAGAAATAAAACTAGACTGGACGTGGTGGTGCATGCCTTTAATCCCAGCAGAGTTCAAGGCCAGCCTGGTCTACATAGTGAGTTCCTGGACAGCTAGAGATACAATAGTGAGATCCCTATATCAAAAAGGTAATAAAATAAAGGTAAATAAGCAAGACTCAGTGGGAGGCCACAGGGTTAGACTATAAGAAGTTAACGCAAAGAAGGTGGTTGTGGTTTCTGATCCAACCACATCTCACAGGGTCCAAGTCCCATTCGGTACTACATGCTCACCTAGGGCCTGACTCATTTCTCTCTGCTCCTGGTGCATTCAGGTGATGAAGGACTCAGCTCCAGAGTTGAATGTGAGTAGTTCTGAGACAGAAGAGGACAAGGAGGAAGCTAAGCCAGATGGAGAGAAAGACCCTGACTTTAATCAAGTATGCACGAAGCTCATCCCATCATTGTGCCTTCTTTTCACTCCAGGCACCTGGTGTCTCTTCCCTGGTTGGGATATTGTTCTGGGTTCCCTTCCCATTTGTCCTGTATTTTTGTTTTCTTTACTTTTTGTAGCATGCTGCATCTAATCTGTCTCTGTGTCTCTGTCTCTGTCTCTCTCTCTCTCTCTGAATGGGCTGCATACATATCCCGCAAAATCCATTTCTTTTTTGGTTTTTTGAGACAGGGTTTTTCTGTGAAAATTTATTTCTTTTAAGAAAGAAAACGTAACAAGGTGTGGTTGCGTTGCTCACCTTTAAAGCACTCAGGAGTTAGAGGCAAGTGTCTGAGGTCAGCCTAGTCTACTTAGAGAATCTGAGAATAGCCTAGTCTATCCAGAGTGAGACCCTGCCTCAAAATAAGCAAAGAAAGAAAAAGTGCTGAATGTGGCAGTTGGTGACTAACACCATTGAGGAGGGTGAGGCTGCTTGGGAAGAATGAAGGAAGGGAGGGTGCTGTGGTGGGTGTGGTGGAGGAAGGAGGATTATAGTTCATAATCACCCGGGCCTACAGTGAAATGCTCACTCCTCTTACAGAAGACCTGGGTTTGGTTGTTCCCTTTACCCACATCAGGCAGCTTAAAATTGCCTATAACCCCTGCTCCAGGAGATATGACACCATTGGTGACAGTGGCTCAGTGGGTAAAGGTACAAGCCAGACGGCAGTCCCTGGATCTCGTTGGAGAGGTAGAGAGCCAACTCCTCCAAACATGTGAATGCACACAAAGGAAATAAATTGTATGTATTTGGGTGTGTGCACTTGAGTTTAGGAACTCTCAGAGCCCTTGGATGGCCATTTGTAACCACCTACTGTTGTCCTTAGAACTAAAATTTGACCCCTACAAGAATGGTACTCACTCTTAACTGCTAAACCATCTCACTAGCACCTTTACATTTTTTAAAATAATAATAATACAATTATTTTTCTTAAAGACAAAAGTATATGTCTTAAGCTGCAAAAGAATACTAAAACAAGACACATATCTTAGTATGTTGCTTAATTATGAGGATGTTTGGTTTTTTTGTTTTGTTTTCTTGTTTTGGCCTCCCCCACCCCACCCCAAGGCAGGTTTCTCTGTATAGCCCTGGCTATCCTGGAATTCTGTAGACCAGGCTGGACTTGAACTCAGATATGTCTCCCTCTACTTGCCAAGACATGTGATTTTTAACTATGAAAATGTTAGCTCTGATTCCTCTCTTAGAAAAATTTGAAGTCTTTTTTTTTTTTCTTTTTAATTTAAAGACAGGCTTTCTCTGTTTAGCCCTGGTTGTCCTTGAACTAGTTCTGTAGACAAGACCCTCTCAAAACAAAACCCAATGAATGTTTTCTGTTAAGATTCCCTCTCCTAATGTGTATGGAATTATTGCAATACCAAGGATAGATGGCTATGTGGGTGAGCTTCTGCTTCTGGAAAACAAACACCAATCAAACATCAATGTGTTCCTTGCATATTCCTTAGATCCATTATACATTTTAAGGCTTATAAAAATTACAGGTGTGTGTGTGTGTGTGTGCGTGCGCGCGCGCGCGTGTACATATATGTATCATGTGGGTGCAGGTATCTATTGGAGGTCAGAAGAGGGCATTGGGTCCATGGAACTGGAGTTAGAGGTGATTGGGAGCCTCTTAGGGATATGCTGGGAACCTATTGTGGGTCCTCTAGAAGAACAGTAAGTGCTTTTAACACTGGAGTCATCTCTTCAGCTGCCACACCTCATCTCCAGCCTTATTCCTTCCATCTCTCTCCTTAATTTTTTCTTGTGAAACAGGGTTTTACATTGTATCCCTGCCTCTGTTCCTCCATCTGTCTGCTTCTGCTGGGCTAATGTGTGTGCCCCCACATCAGCTGATACAGATCCTTTGAAAACAATGGGATTTCTACTACTTTTTGGCTGGAATATCAGGCTGGAGAGACGGCTCAGAGATTAAGGACACTAACTGCTCTTCCTGAGGTCTTGAGTTCAATTCCCAGCAATCACATGGTAGCTCACAACCATCTGTAATGAGATCTGGTGCCCTCTTCTGGCCTGCAGGTGTACATGCAGATAGATCACTATACATAAGAAATCAAATTTTTAGAAAATGGTAGAATATCTTTACCCTAAGATAGGATAGTCAAAGGACATTCAGCCTCTCCCCTGTGTTGGGTGGTCCTTTACCTCCTCAGTAGCAGAACACAGCCTCTGGACTTTGTCAGTGCGTGCTGATTGTTACTTTATGTTTTGTTCATTTTTCAAGACAGTTTCTCTGTGCTTTGGAGCCTGTCTTCTAACTCACACAGTAGACCAGCCTAGATCTACCTGCATCTGCCTCTTTTTTTTTTTTTTTTTTTTTTTAAAGACAGGGTTTCTCTGTATTGTTTTGGAGGCTGTCGGTCCAGCCTGGCCTCGAACTCACAGAGATCCGCCTGCCTCTGCCTCCCCAGTGCTGGGATTAAAGGTGTGTGCTATCACTGCCCAGCTGTTGGTTTTATTTAACTTCGATTAAGAAACTCTTAAGTTGGGTTGGAGAGATGGTTCAGTGGTTCAGAGGTCCTGAGTCCAATTCCCAACAACCACTTGATGGCTCACAACCATCTCTAATAGAACCTGGTACCCTCTTCTGGCATGTAGTTATACATGCAGCACTCAGACATTAAATATAAATAAATAAATAAGTAAATCTTAAGTCTTGGTTGCCTCTAGAGAAATGTTGCTTTTACTTACCCAGCTGGTATGGAAGGATATGTCAGTATTTGTTATCCATGACTTGTTGGAATCTCAAAAATAGCCAAAACCAAATAGAACAACAAAAACCCATGAAGGAACAAAACCACACAGTTTTATGCCCCACCCTTTGACCGTGGGCAGGCAGATTGCAGTTTCCTTTGTTAAGCTTGGTAGCCCATGGCAATTCTGGGTGTCAGTTTGAGGGTTTTTTTCCCCCCGAGACAGGGTTTCTCTATTGTTTTGGAGGCTGTCCTGGAACTAGCTCTGTAGACCAGGCTGGCCTCGAACTCACAGAGATCCGTCTGCCTCTTCCTCCCAAGTGCTGGGACTAAAGGTGGGCGCCACCAACGCTGGTGAAACACAAGTTTGCAGGCCTGGCATGTGCCACATAACCCAGGTTGGCCTTGATCACATGGTTTTCTTATGTGGCTTCCAGAGTGCTGGGATTGCTGGTGTGGCCCCTCTCTCTGCCCGGCTGTAACATGGACCTAGGAGTTTGCAGATGTGTTTCTGTCAGTCTCTGTTTCCAGCTTTGCTTTTCAGCCCATGGGTTGTTTAGCCAACTCTACATTTTCATGTGATTCAGACTTTGAAAAGCTGGCTGTTTCTCTGAACATGAGTTTTATTCACTGTGGTCATGACCACAGCAATGTTTTCAGGTGGCTGTAGAATTCCTGTCCTCAGTTGTGGATGGCAACAGACTCTGCGTGTACAAATAAGACACAGAATGTTGGAGAGCATTGCTTTTTATGCCATAATTGTTTTGTACACGTTATAATTTTCCTCCATCTCCCTTCTCCATGTTTGGATATTGTAATACTCTAGAATGTTTTAAATTCTTTTGGTTCAGGGCAGGGGAGGGATCTCAATTCTAGCCCTCAGTTTAGAGCATAGTAACTAGTCCCTGGGGATACCTAGTGTCTTCAGAATGTCACCCCTCCCCCACTTCTTTGTCTCAGAATATGTTGGCTGGTTGCACTTTGATAAATCCACACCGTAAACAGAGGCATTAGTGCCCCTTAATGGAGTTGAGCAAATCCCCTACCCCCTTCCCTTCTCTCTAAGCCAGATCAACCCAGTTCTGTCCGTGTTATCTAAAATTCCAGTTAATGATACACTCAGTGGATATCACTTAGGTATTGGAAAGCCTTTTAAAACCAGTGGCTGGAAAAGGAGTAACAACCAGTGTACTGGTTTTAGTGGGTTGAGATGAGTTAAAGAAAAATAATTCTAGGAAAAGCCTGTAAATCCTTGTAAAATCAATTTGAAAAGGTCTTAGTTGCTGGGTGGAGCATGAGGTGAGGTTGGGTTTGTGCATTAGGTATCTTCTGTCTGTAGGTAACCTCCTCTAACACAATTGAATGAAGAATTCATCTTGGATAATGTTATCAGGACTGCTAAATTGGCTAACTTTTCTTGTGGCTCTTAGAATCACATTTGTGGGCATAGTTGACAAAGCCTTGCCAGTGGCCAGCGCCCTGAGACCAGGTTTTTGCTGAGTCTGCCCTGGTAGCTGCTTTATGAATTGCAAAACATATAATATGAATGGGACACGTGTATCCACAGTGACCCCGGCATCCCCTTTCACCACAGTTGGCAATCGGTGACATCTTGGAAGCCAAAGGAAAACTGCAGTTATCCAGATATAATTAAACCGGAGAAAAGGCATTTTGAAAAATCCCACTGTCATTTTCTGTCCTGCTTAACAGGCAACCTTGACCTCTTGTTAACCCTCAGAGAGGACTTAGTGTGTGCTGGTTCTCTATGTACTAAGTCCAGCTCTGGGAAGACAGACTCACCCACTGCCTGGAGTCCTTAGCAAGTTCAAAGCAGACCTACATGAGACACTTTCCACTTTTATTTATTTATTTACTTTTCAGTAGTTTAAATTCTGGAAGGGTACAGCATCACACGGATTCTGTGTCCAATGACCTTCGCAGGAAGGTTGCTTCGGAATTTGGCACGAAGCATGCCACTGTTCCCATGGGCCCGGGTTACTTTTCCCCAGATCGCTCTGGTTTTGTTTGGTTTGCCTCTGGGTGTCACTGTGTTGGTTTTTGCTTTATACACGTAAGCACAGGTAGAATTCAGTTTCATCTCGGGCATAAACACCTTCAATTTTAAGAAGAGCCGTGTGCTCTCTCTGGTTCTGGAGGCCTCGCTTATAGCCAGCAAAAGTGGCCTTGCACCACAGCCTTCCAGACATATTTGCCTTTTAGAAGTCCTGTTCCCAGCAGGCCTCCACAGGCGCCAAGATGGCAGAAAGAGATGAGACACTTTCAAAACAGACTAAAAAATGTTCTAGATCACTTGACCCCTTGCTATTCTCTTTTCTGAAAGGTACAGCCCATGCCATATACCCATATATAGATAGGCCCATGCTTTTGTGAATGTTTAGATCAGTCGCAATAATCATGATGTAAATACTTGATTCTGTGTATCCCAGAGTCTGTGTAAACACAGCTTTTCATGCCGTGAGTACAGTATGCTTGAGAGAAGCTAGCAGGTTAGATTCCCTGTGCCCAACAACTCTCTCTCAACCCCAAATTGATGCACCTGTTATAGTCTGTGTGACTGGGTAGTTTCCATCTAGACAAGCACCTTGGAGAACACCTTCGCCTTTTTTCTTAACTGTTTTGTGTGTCTATCTTGATCAACATTTCTATAAATTGCAAGTTGGTCTCAAGCATTCATTTATATTTAATTTGTAACAGTTTTCATACAGGACTATATTATAGTTGAAGCTGTTTCCCTCACTACCACCAGTATGACAAAGAAGCAGTGTCTTGTTTTTAGTAAAAGTTGGCTTGAGTACAGTGTGACCTTTCATTTTACAGTTGGCATTCACTTCCATATCCTTCTCAAAAGGAGAAGGGCTCAGAGACATGGCTGGGTTGGAAGTGTGCTTGCCTAGCTAGCATTCCAGCGCCATTACCTTGACAGGATGGCACAGTGCTTTATCCTTATCACTGTGGTGTTGGAGACAAGGGGGGTTATTAGTTCAGGGTCAGGCCATCCGGGGAGATAGTGGGAGCTGGATACTAGGCCTGTAGTGCAACCCTGCCTCTAAGGAAACTATGAGACGGAGTTGGAGACTAGCCTCTAGTAGATGCCCCCCCCCCCCCCGAAAAATATATAAAACAACTTAGAGTTCTGTAATCCCAAATTTTCAATTTATTGTCTTCTTTTATTTTTTTAAATAACTTGTTTGGTTTGGTTTGGTTTTTCGAGACAGTGTTTCACTGTGCAGCCCTAACTGTCCTGGAACTTACTCTGTAGACCAGGCTGACCTCAAACTCACAGAGATCTGCCTGCCTCTGCCTCCCGAGTGGTGCTATTAAAGGCGTGTGCCACCACTGCCTGGCTTAACATGTTTGTTTATTTTGTGTGTATGTGTGTGGATGCAGGGAGGTCAGGAAACAGTTTGTGGGAGTTGGTTCTCACCTTACACTGCAAGCTGCCTTGATCATTGTGGCCATAGCCTCTTAACTGGAACAAAATATAGCCAGTGTTTCTGTATGTGATACTTTGCTGTGTGCACACACTTGCCTTGAAATAGGAGGCACCAAGAGAACTGGTTTAAATATCTTAATTAGATACTGTATTACTGTCAGGCTTGGCAGTGATGGCCATCTGACCAGCCCTGGGCCTTGCTGTCTATCCCTAGGCTGGCCTTCAGATTCCCTGCCTTGCCTCAAGTGCTAGGAGCAGGGGAAAAAAGCTGACACAACTGGTAGTTTATTGTCCTTCCTGGTTAAAGGTGAAACTTTGTTTTGTTTTCAATAGTTACAAGTTCATTTTTATACCACCACAACCCACATTATTTGTGAACCATTGGAGTTAGAGGATTATATCCATCTTGTTTGGCTGAAGAGCAGGATAATCTCAGAGCTTTCTCTTGGGGATCTTGTTGCAGAGCAATGGAGGTACCAAGCGGCAGAAGACATCGCAGCAGAGCTACGTGGCCTACCAGAAGCAGGTCATCCGGCGAAGCACGAGGCACAGAAAGGTTCGAGGAGAGAAGGCACTGCTGGTGTCGGCTAATCAGACCTTAAAAGAACTGAAGATTCAGGTGAAGAAAATGAATGTCTTGCCAAGGCTTATGTGGGTTCCTCTGTCCCGTCTATTTTATATAGCTGCTTTTTTTCTGGGGCTGAACCTTTACTGCTCTACCTGCTGTGGTATTGAGCCAATCAAAGAGGGCTTTCTTGGTTTTTCTTTTTGAAATGCTTGTAGGGCCAGGTTAAAATACGCTCTGTGCACACCCCACCCCAGTTTTTATTCATGTGATTTTGTTGTTGTTGTTGTTTGGTTTCTCTGTGTATGTAGCCTTGGCTGTCTTGGAATTAAATCTGCCGGCTCTGCCTCGTGTGTGATGGGATTAAAGGCACGTGCCAAACGGGCCCCACCATTTTTATGAATTGTTTAAAAGGCACCCAAGGGCAAGGAATTGCTCTGTGTTGGTAATAAAGTTCCATACTCTTCCTGGCGTTAATTCCATAATATCCCAGAGACACAAAATGGTCCTTAAAGTTTTTATACCACTTTTTTTGTAGGAGGGGCCATTGACACAGGGCTTGTCTGTGTAGCCATGGCTGTCCTTGAACTCAAATGCACCCACTTCTGTGCCACCAGAGCTGGGGTTATGGGTGTTTGCCACCATTACCGCTTTATATGACCTTGTGGCAACAATTGCCAATTTGGGGTACTGTCAGGTTCTTTAGGTCCCCTATGGTGCTATCAGTGTTACACTGAAATGGACTTTCTTTCCCAGGTGGTTGTTGCAAAGTGCCTTGATTGTTGTGGCCACAACCTCTTAGCTGGAACAATAACAAAAAACCTTAGTTTTCATAGTAGCCAGTGTCTCTGTGTGCAAGTGGCAAATGATACTTAGCTACATGCACACAGACTTGCCTTTGAGTAGGAGGCATCATGAGAGCTTGTTTATCCACCACAATCCCAGGTTGTTCCAGAACAATGTTCCCTCCCCTCATGGTTGGCGTGTTATTCTTTGACCACTTACAGGAATGTGAGTCTGTTGCCTAGGAGGGAACCAGTAGCACTGGGAGCGCCTCATCAGGATGAGTCAGGAGCTCTCAGCCCACTTTGTGTTTGTTGTCTTGTTTTTTATTTGGTTCACACAAGTGTGTGGCCTTGTGAGTGTGTGCTTACACACGCATGCATGTGGAGGCCAGAGGTCAGGAGCTGTCTGCCTTGGCCCCTCCTTCCATCTCATTCTTAGATTTATTTATTATAATTTTTTAGACTTATTTATAATGTATATGAGTGTTTTGCTTGCATGTGAACCACATGGGTGCCTGGTGGCTGCAGAGAAGAGAAAACTGGAGTTAGACATGGCTATGAATCACCATGTTGGATTAAAAATTGAACCCAGGTCTTCTGCAAGAATATCAAGCATTCTTAGCCACTGAATCTTGTCTTCCAACCCCTAAGATTGTATCATCGTTTGTGTAGTGTGTGGAATGAGGGGGATCAGAGACATGGCGATGTGGAGACACCACACCTCTATTTGGGCTCCAGGGGTCAGACTCAGGTCTGACTTCTTTTTGGTTGGGCATTCATTCATTCTTCATTTCTGTTTTTGGGACCGTGCATTACCTCATAGCCCTAACTGGCCTGCAACGCAGTGTGCAGATGGGGCTAGCCAGAGCTCACACTAAAGGTGTGGTGTGCCACACTGACAGCAGTGGTGTCTTTTCCTGCTGAGCTATCTCAAAGGCCTACTTTTTTTTTTTTTTTGAGACTGGGTCACCTATTGGCTTATATTTTTCCAAGTAAGGCTAGACCAGCTGACCAGCAAAGTTCCAGGTATCCACCGTTCTCTGTTTCCCCAGTACTGGGATTACAAGTACACACTGCCACGCCTATATATATGTTTTTAATTATTTTTAGTTGTGTGTGAGTATAGATGCCTGTAAATTCCAGAAGAGGCAGTTGTCAGCTGCCCTCCATGCATGTTAGGTACCAAACTCAAGTCTGCTATAAGTACTGTACATACTATTAACTGCTGATCCATGTCTCCAGTCACTTTACTCAGATTTTAAAAATACTTATTTTAAATGTGCATGTATGTACACCAAGTACATGTAGGAGCCCAATGAAGTCAGAGCATATCAGATCCCCTGGAACTGGAGTTACAGAAAGTTGTGAGTCACCATGTGGGTGCTGGGAAATTTCCCTGTCCTCTGCAAGAAGAGTAACAAGTGCTCTTAGCTGCTGAGCCATCTCTCCAGCCCTAAGCACTCACATTTCTGTTGTGGATTCTGGGGACCAAACAGAGTCTCAAGCTTGTACTCGTGCCTATTCTGTGTTGAACTCACTATGTTGTTCAGGCTGACTCAGATCAAACTTAGTACAGTCCTCCTGCCTGTGCCACTCATTTCCTAGTATTTTGGGTGACATGTATGTATATGCTAGAATATTTTTACATCTATTTTTATTTGCTTTATGTTTTGTGCATGAATGATTATTTTGTGTATGTATTTTTTTTTGTATATGGGCATGTGGGTGCTATGGTACACTTCTGGTCAAAGGACAACTCATGAGAGTTGGTTCTCTTCTACCATGTGTGTCTCAGGGAATCAAACTGGGGTCATCAGGCTTGGCAGAAATTGCCTTTACCCCTGAGTCATCTCACTAGCCCCCATTTGCTAAGTCATCTTTACCTTTACCTTTTTTTTTAAATACAGTAGTGTGTTCCAAATTATTGATTAATGTCCACCCTCACATACACTCACAAATCTTTAAGGTGATTGTAACACAGGCAGTTACCCTAATTCTTTGTGATGGTATCACTTGTTGGTATCAGTAAAAGTTCCGTAAGTGTGCATTCCCATGGTATGTCTCTAACCCTCGGCAGAAAGAGCTGATAAATTCAAGATGTCCATGAAAAACAGCTTGGCCGCTGTGGTTTGAGTCTTTGTTGGATCTCCAAAAGTTGACCACGGTCCCCTGTCTGCTGCCTTTATGTGGCAGCGTCCATGGCTATGCATTTTTCTTGTTGCTGATATTTATCATTGTAATTGAGGCAAAAGTACAGGCTTCCTTTGAGGGTGTTATGTGTTCCAGATTGTCCTGAGAACAGCATTTCCCTTGGTTGAACCCACGGCTCTGAAAATAAATGTGTTGGCTTAATATCTTCCCTCTGTTGTTGTGCCCTTTACATCTGAGAAGGCTTGTTTCCATCACCGGTTTTCTGCCTGTCAGTGGTAAACCTCGAGCATTCAAAACCTTTAAATTACAAAAAGAGCCCCTGTGGACAAGGATGCTTCTAAAAGCCTGTGCTGCTCTTATTGTGGAGCACTGTGTTTGAAGAATAATTCAGAAGGCTTCAGAAATAACCTCTCCCCCTGGGAGTTTGTTACCTGCAGGATGAACTGCATCACAGCTGCAGCTGTTGGTGCGAAACCCCACATGCTCTTCCTCGGTGTTTGTAGTGTTTCCTCTCGTCTCCCACTCATGCTTCAGAGCACTGGAAATCAAGCAGGACTGCAAGGAAGGGTGGCAGGCTGGAATTCCCCTCAGTGCTCAGTGGTGGCTTTAGCAGCACCGCTTAGCATGACCCTTCTGCCGTAGCTGTGTGGGCATTCACATAGTTCTCAGTTGGTGGTGGTGGGTTCTCTTTTTTCTGTTTTAATAAAAACATTTTAAAATTATTTATTCTCATTTTATGTACTTTGGTGTTTTGCTTGCATATATATCTATATAAGGGTATCAGATCCTGTGAAACTGAGTTAGAGACCGTCGTGAGCTGCCATGTGGCTGCTGGGAATTGAACCCGATCCTCTGTTCTGAGAGCAGCCAGTGCTCTTAACCGCTGAGCCATCTCTTCAGCTCCAGTGGGTGCTTTTTAAAAAATGAGTTGTACTTCATTTTCTGATGTAGGATAGAGCTTTTCCTTTGGACACACTGCTGTAAGGTGAATTTGGTGACACTGCCACAGTGTAATCGCATGGTTGTAGATGCTTTACGATACGCTATTACTTAAAGCCATAAAGTTGCTTTGAGGGATGGAGAGGTGGCTCAGTAGTTAAGAAAGAGAGCATGTGGGCTGGGGAGATGGCTCAGCCGTTAAAGGCTCACAGCCAAAAATATAAGAACGAGCACTTGCTGCATAGAAGACTCCGGTGCATTTCTCAGCACCCACATGGTGGCTCTCACCATCTGTAACTCTAGTTCCAGGTGATCTGACGCCATCTTCTGACCTCTGTAGGTCCCAGGCATATAAGTGGTGTACAGAATGTTCATTCAAGTAATAGACTCATGCACATAAATTTTAAAAAGAACGTTGTTTTGCATAGTCGTTTGTTCATCCTGTGATTCAGTAATGCTTCTCTCCTGTTGGTTTGGTCTAAGCCTAACTCATGTCAAGTCGTCATTCTTCCACCTCCCTCTCCAGTGCCAGACTCTGTTTCCTCAGAGGTGCTGCACGCCATCGGCCCTTCAGAAAGGGTGTTTGGCCTCAATATGCGGGGAGCGGGTGTCTGACTGCAGGCGCTGCTGTCCCTGGCACACTCCACAGTTAAGAAGCCAGGCCAATGCCGGGCAGTCTGTACTGAAATGCTGATACTGGGCCTGTGCTGGCCGACACAGCTGGGCGTTGTCTGTGGACCCCGCTTTGGTTTGTGTCTCTTTTGTTGATGAAGTGCTGCTGTCCTATCCCAGCCCCTCTTCTGACACACCTCGTCTCAGCCCTTTGTCCTGGGAGATCCCACACATGTGTTGTGTCATCCTGGAAGGATTGCTATACCACGTGTCCTCCTGACTTTCTGGAGGGCTTGTTCTAGTATATATTTCCAGTGTCTAGTACAGTGCTTGTCATGTGCTGTCTTAATGAATGCCACATTCATTGTTGAGCACACTTAACATGTCTTTGTCTGTGCTAAAAGCACAGTGTGTCAACCTCTCAGAGATGGTACTGTTGTTGTCTCCAGGGATTTGGTACTTGTCCCATCTCATGGTGTGGGCACTTCAGGGTATGAAGAAGCAATCCCGTATTGAGGGGAATGATTGTGACCTTCCATGTTGGTGTACTGGTCAGGGGCTGGCAGAGTTAGCCTTCTTTGTACACCCTACATAGTGGGAAGTGTAGGAAAGAGGCTTGCTTCTTCGGGAGTATCAGTGGCAATGCCTTGCCCGTGGCATCTTGGAGTTCATGTGTTTTTGAGAAGTCCAGGTAGCATCCTCAACCTGGCCAGGGTTCCTATCTGTAGGCTATATTAAAGTCGCTGCTGTGGTAAACATCACACCAGCCTTTACTTCCTTCACAGGGAGCTGGGACTTCCTACAGATGGTCTGTCTTTCTGCCTCCAAGGAGAAGGAAGCATGAAAGCTGATGACTCCTATAGCACGAGGGATAACAGTGTAATAAGATGAGGTGTTAAAGAATGCATTTGAAGAGTATGGTTTGGCTGAGTGTGGTAATGCATGCCTTTAATCTCAGCAGAAGTGGGTGTATCTCTGACAGTTGGAGGCCAGATTATCTGAGTTCCAGGACACCCAGCCAAAATAAATAACCTAATTAAAATTTTAAGTGAGTGTTATTAAAAGTACCTTTCCTGTTAAGAATAGAAGCTGTGCCGCTTTTGGGGTCTGGGTGCCTTTTCAAGATTTCCCTCTGGGTGTAATTATTATCCAGAAATGATTGATTTGTGATAGCAGGGATTGAACCCAGGGTCTTGTCATACTAGATGAGTATGCCATCACTGAGAGAAAATTCACTAAATTACACTGGCTGGTCTTCAACTTGATTCTTCTGCCTCAGTCTCCCAAGTGACTGAAAATAAATAGCTACCCCATCAAACCTGCCTTTAAATTTTTTTTTAACTTTCTGAATCTGAAAAGACATTGAAGAAATTATGTGTCAGAGTGTTTTGGAATGTATTTGATTTTTGTTGCTTGACCAGTCTTGGGACAAAGCATGTGACCCTTCTAAAGTTGTGTTTCCCGTCTCAGAAACTCAACACATTGTGGCAGTTCTGAGTCTGAGTCTGAGTGACACAGTCCAGCTGCTTGCTAAAGAGTAAAAAGTGTATGTGAGCAGTGGTGGCAGATACCTTTAATCCCAGCACTCAGGAGACAGAGGCAGGCTATCTCTGAGTTAGAGGCCAGCCCCGTCTACAGAGCAAGTTCCAGGACAGCAGAGCTACGCATAGAAACCCTATCTTGAGAAAAAAATATGAAAAAAATTAAAAATTGTCAATTTTGTTGTTGTTTTGGTATGTGTGTTTTTTGTTGTTCTGAAATGGATATGTGTGTGTTTTATTTTTCTGAAATGGGGGTTTCAAGACCGTCTAGAATTCCTATATTCAGAAAGTCCTCCTGTTCTCATGCTTTAACCCCTCCATAAATGGTACTGTGGTACTGTACAGCTCAAACCTAAAAATGTTTTTAAGCGCGAATTCATACTGGTTCATAGAAGTGGTTTTGAGTGAAAACATGTAGTTGCTTATGAAATTATGTAGGGCAACTTAGGAATGAGGTGATCTTGGTGAAGTGTGGGGGTAAACAACATAGCCCTGGTAGACCTGGAGAGGCAGCAGGACACTGGAGTAACCGACCTAAATGTATAATTGTCTCTGTTCTCTGTTCTCTGCACTCCTAAGGCTCAGCCTCCCAGGGACACTCTGTAACAATGGAGCAAGCAGGCTGGCTGCTTTTGTACTTAGGAGTCTTTTGGTCATTTCCCCATCCCGTCCCCTGCCCTCCCTTGGTTTTTAGAGTCTGTTTTTTGTTTTTAAGGGTGTCACAGGGCTCAGTGTTGTCCTCTGTATTTACTTTTTTCTTTTATATTGCCACAGATCATGCATGCATTTTCAGTCGCTCCCTTTGACCAGAATTTGTCAATTGACGGAAAGATTTTAAATGATGACTGTGCCACTCTTGGTACCCTTGGCGTCATTCCTGAGTCTGTCATTTTACTAAAGGTGAGTAATAGCTGTCCATCTGTGGGCTCTAGGTTCCATTGTTGCATCCCTAGGTAAAGGGTATACAGTGGTGGTTAAGGAATGTGAGTCCCTAGGTAAAGGGTATACAGTGGTGGTTAAGGAATGTGGGTCCCTAGGTAAAGGGTATACAGTGGTGGTTAAGGAATGTGGGTCCTTGAAGGGCAATGGCTGGGAGCTTTTCTTTTTTTTTCTTTTTTTTTTTTTGGTTTTACGAGACAGGGTTTCTCTGTTTTGGAGGCTGTCCTGGAACTGGTTCTTTAGACCAGGCTGACCTCAAACTCACAGAGATCCGCCTGCCTCTGCCTCCCGAGTGCTGGGATTAAAGGCGTGCGCCACCAACGCCCGGCGGCTGGGAGCTTTTGCACCCTATTGATTACCCAGCTCTGTTAGAGACTCCAGCACATCACTAGGTCTTTTCCTCATGAATTATCATAGGCTGTGGTGACAACAGAATATCTACCGTTGCCTGTACCCTGAAGACAAGCGGAGATATCTTCCCTTGGTCTTCTCTGGGTTTAGACAGTCATGATAGACAGCAGAGCTACAAATAACACCATCCCCACCTGATTCCTCCAGGTTAACTCTGCGCGCACACGCACTTCTCCAGACCATAGATCTGATTTTTTTATGGCTTAAACTTGGGTCACCACCAGGATTGACAGTCATCCCAGGAACCACCACACTGTTCAGCTCAACTCTAGTTTGTATTGACAAAAAGCTAGCCAGGGCACTAACATTCTGAGAATGTCATTGAGTAGCGTGAGGCTTCTTGTGATTTCATTAGCTCGGGGCACGGCTTCTTCAGGGGCACGGGCTGGGGCTCCCTTGTCTGAAGGGCTTAGGGCCCGAGAGCCTGGATTTTGAAATAAATATAGAGGTGTGTTTCATATATGCCTAGAGGTAATTTCATACAATATTTTAGTGTCATAACTATGGCCCGTGAAAGGTAGGGAAATTTTGTGCATCAGATATCCTACTAGAAGCTCAGAAAGAAAATTTGGATTTTGGAATTAGTGATGCCCTGACACCGTACACATGCTGGTAAGGAAGAAAAGGGTGCTGTCAGGAAGGAAACCCCAGTAGAATAAGGAGACTCTTAACCAGGATGAACATTGGCCTTAATTTAGCAAGTGTTGGGTGTGTTTTAGAGGACTCTTCAAGGGCTTACTTTGTGGCTTCTCTTTGCTGCCTTTTGGTTTTTAGAGACTAGAAGGACCCTGCTGTGCCAGATAACAGTGCATTGTGTGGGAGAGCGATCCCAAAGACGTCTGACCTAGATGGCATGGTTTTGCACCTCTTCCCCCAGTTCGGATGCAGTGACCTGGCACAGTGGAGCAGGCACCTCTGTCTCTAGCGCACCCGGCCCTCCCATCCTGACTCTTAGCTTTTCCCAGAACTGTGGTCTATGGGATGATAGTGTAGACCTGTTGAGTTGCTAAATCACCTTACTGCTTTGTTAACCCTAGAGTAGCTAGTTCCAAGGCTTCTGTGGCAGGTTAACAGCTGGATTCTGAACTGGTCAGCCACTTGTTTGCCCATGCAGTTATCTCCCCTTAAACAAGGCTACTTCACACCTTTCCCATTTAAAGAAGTTTTTAGGGGGAAGAAAGCAGTGCTCTGCCGTATACAGTGTGCCAAAGCAGTCTAGATCCTGAGTTGGCAGAGCATTATATTGTTAAGTCTGAGCCAGGGTCCTGCTGCCCAGTGCCAGCTGTTTGTACAAAGAAAGGCAACCCTGAATGGACGAGGAATGGTGTCCTTCAGCCCCCTGTGAGCCAGACTCCTGCTAATTCAGCCAGCCTAGCTGCTGGCCCTGAGGGATCTGAGCTTGTTCCATCCAAAACAGGCCAGTCTTTTCCAAGTAAAAATTCTTCTGTTGACTGGGAGTGCCACTCTGCTTCCCCAAGGCTAGTACTGAGTAGAAGGAATGAAGTGTGTGACAGCCTTTGTTGCTAGTATTGGAACCATGGACCAGGGTTCAGGGTGATTTATAGTTAGCCTGCTCCTCCTTCAACCCTTCCTTCCACGTGGCTCTGAATTGTCTTTGTTTGTTTTCTAGGCTGATGAACCAATTGCAGACTATGCTGCAATGGATGATGTCATGCAAGGTAAAGACCAGTTTGCTTTCAGAATCTGGTGATGGACTTAGGATATAGGATGGTAGATAGAAGCTGAAATGCCCTGGGCTTTACTTTTAACCTTGAAAAAGAGCTATTGCATGCTCTTAAGGTAGAACTTCCCCATATCCGTCATAGTATGGGGTAAAGGTTTGGGAAGTGGAAAGCGGGGAGAATGAACGGTCATTGTTTATTAACACAAGGAAACCGGGGGAAACAATGGTAGACTGGAAGATAAAAGAGGTCATGAGGAAGTATGACCTACACGGGAGCGGGAAGCTCTGCCACTCCATGGGTGGGCACACCTTGCCTCCTGTTGATGGAAGCCTGTGTGAGAAGCAGCCTGACAACTGTGCACCCTGTGATCCTTGCCACTCAGTTCCTGCACATCTTTGTCACCCCTGATGCATTGGGTTCCTTAGATGGTAGCTATAGAAGCTGTTTCAGCACTTGGAAGAATTTGCACTAAAGGGGTTGTAACAAGGCTTCTTAGAAGAGTGCCCCACTTAGTCCTCCATGTGCTCCAGGGCCAGGAGAGTTCCTCGTTAGGAAAACGAGTCAACTCGAGAAAGTACATTCCTACTAGGAATAGGCCAGTTCATCTACTGAGATCGGTGACCCTGGTGCCCTGTGATGGAGCTTTCAAATGCGCTGTGTTAGTTTTACACTTCATAAGTTCATTATAAGAAGCCCGCATCACATGACAGCCAAGGACCCAACCAAGAACATGAAAGCAGGGGGTGTCATTTAACAAGCTAAGAAGGAATATTGTAGGATGCACTGGAAAATTTAAAAATGGCCTATAAATATCTGGGCATAGTAGTACGTGCCTGTAGTCCCAGTACTTGTGAGCTCAAAGTAGAACTTTTCATAAGAATTGAAAATAATTCATAGGAATAAAAACTGATTGAGGGTATGCTACAGTTGGTGAAGAACTAGGGATGCTTTTCTTGGTTGGAGGTGGGAAGTGCGGGTGACCCAAGTCTACTCACATGCCTGATGGCCCTTGAACCCACAGGGTGAGTCTCTGAAGTTACCTGCTATCATGTTATGTGGAAATGTGCTCCTTAAGTAAGGGCTGGTAGAATAAGAAGGACGTTACTGGGACCAGGCATGGGACAGAGTACTAAGAAATGGGGAGGGAGATTTCAGAGCCCAGGCTGTATGCCAAGTAGTACAGGCATTGGTCCAGATTTGGGGCCTGGACATGGATTTTAGGATGAGCTCTCTGTGCAAGGATGATAGAAGTGATGATGACAGCCTTGAACAGGTTCCTGCGGTTAGATGCAAAAGAGACAAGACACATGATTAATGCAGGGGTTGCCAGGCATAAAAGAGCACACATGAGCAGTGCAGCCGAAGGCATCAAGGGCAGCTAGCGGGCAGGCTGGGTCTTGCCAAGGCAGGGCAGGTGGTAGAAGAGCTGAATGTACTTCACAGGAAGTTAATCAGAGGAAAACCATAAAAACATGTTATCTAGAAAGACAAGCAAACTAGGCATGGGAGCCTGTTCCAGTAAGGCCAGTCTGGTTCTCATAGTGTGAGATCCCATCTCAGAAATAATTGAAACTGAGCTGGAGTCGTTAAGAGCATCAATATGATTGCTCACAACAGTTTGTAACTCCAGTTCCAAGGGGTCTGGCTCCCTTCTGACATCTGCCAGCACCACCCATGCATGGGGTGTACATGCAGAGAAAACACGTGTACACATAAAAGTTTAGTCTTTAACAAGTAAAAAGGAGACTAAACATCAAAGAAACCACACAGAATCTTACCGTGGCATCTGTCATATGGGAGTAACAGGAAGAGAGAAGAGACAGCTACCAGAGGTCAGCCATGAGGTCTCTGGGCATGCTATAAGCATTTGCCTTTCTAAATGGTGAGTGTGATTTGATGACTAGAAAGACAGAAAGGTCATCAGATTGTTGCTACCATAGATTCAAAAGGAACCATTTCGGGTGACTAAGGCAATTAAAAGTTATTTTAAACTTCTCATCGTGAGGCATTTGACATGCTCTCACTAACTGACAGACTGTCTTTCACTCTGGAATTCTTTTCTTTCTGCAGTTTGTATGCCAGAAGAGGGGTTTAAAGGTAAGGCGTTTGTCATGCTTCCTCCCTGTCAGAGCTACACCGTGACTCTATTAAAGTGAAGGCTGTAATTCGATTTAACATTTAATCCAATCCAAGTCTCGTGACTGGAATTAATTTTAGCTGAAAGCATTTTTATTCCATCTTCTCTTTACCATTTTCAGCACAGGCTTCAGATCAGGCCTGTGTATGAGGAATTCTTCCTCAGATTCATTTCAGGGGAGGTTGGGAATTAGTGGGTAGGATTTCTAGATTTATATTTAACCTTCTGCCGGGTCTTCCTATCGGCTCCATCTCTGCAGGGCTGCTGGTGTGTAGCTGGTAAGAATTAGTGGTGGGAGACTGTAGGCTCACATCAGGTCAGTGCAGGTTTCGTTAATTATGAAGATGTTTGCTCCTCAGCGCTGTATGTGTGCAGATAGATGCAGGAGCAGCCGAGCTGGCTCTCTGCCCACCCCTCCCAAGGTCTGTGGCAGGTTGCGATTCTTCCCCAAAAGGAATTGAGTCAAATGCCAGCAGTTCCACGCCAGGCAGTGCTAAAGTGCCTGGCCTGGCCTGAATACCTCCTTCCTCCCCATGTGACTCTGCTGTCTGCATGTGAGAGCCACAAAGGAACTGCTGGCAGGATCTAAACAAAACAAAATATTCCTTTATGGATGTGGCCGTGAAATGAAAGCATCAATCGGAACCAGTTAACTTGTGTGATGGGCATAGGAACCTGTGGTTGTCAACCAAAATGTGATTTCACTGGGAGCTTGGAGACTTGATCTTCAGTGCCAAGGGCCCGTGTTCATTTGCTGTGATGGATATTCCCTGTTGATACATTCTTGCCAAACAGAGTACACAAACTCATACTTTTAGCCATACCTCCACGTGTGTTCTATTTCAGGTACGGGTCTGCTTGGACATTAATTTCTGCCCACCTGCTGACTGCCAAGGAATAACCACAAAGGAAGAGGAATTTCACATGTTAGGGCATTAAAGAAAAAGTGAATTTAAGAATTAAACTATTACCTGGCTCTTCCAAAAGGCAAAAATCCATTTAAAGAGACTGTCCCAATTGCCTTATGTCAATAAAGCAGATTGCACTGATGGACATGAGACTTGAAGGAAATGTTTCAGATGATTTTCTATTTAAGTGGTGGTGGGAGGGAGAGGGCGAGTAAGCAGAGTAGCAGTAAGAGTAAATCATGTTTACACACGATATTAGAGCCACGGGCGGGAGTGAAGTCCTGCCAGTTTCATACAGATGCCCTGGTCAGTAGTGGATTTGTGTGGAAGTGCATGGGAGATAGCATCCCGCTCTGCACTCCATGACTGTCTATAGAGACAACGACCTGCTAACAATACCTGTCTTTGACCCATACTCATCTCTGAATAAGTAAAGCATGAAAGTGAAGAATTTGCCACCGTGGGACGTGTCTTCAGAGCTCTAGTACTTCAGGTCAGCCACAGCCCTGCCGCCTGCTTGCTCTCTGTCAGTGCTGGGTAGAAGGGGGCCTCTGCTTTCCTCCTTCAACCAGGCACTGTCTCAGTTTTCTTCCAACCTTTCAGAGATGATGGGAAATGTTCAGTGTGTGGCAGCAAAGCAAATATTCCCTGAACATTTGAAGAACAGGATGGAAGAGCCGGCTGGACCGACGCTCCATGGGGCAGCACAGGGCCCTCCCTCCTCCGGCTTCACTTTCCTCGGACCTCTCTTCTCTCTGAAAAGCATTCTCTGACACACTTTATAGAGGGGCAGGGTGTGCTTTCTTATCCAACTCAGGATTACTGTTGGTAGTGAATAGTCTAAGCATCGTCCATATCCGCAGGAACAGGTTTGAATTGAGGCTGGGCTTGGGTTGGGTTGACTGGCTTTTTTCATTTTCTCTATCAAGTAGGTATGGGTATGTTTGTGGCCCAGATGCTGAAACAGGCCCTTTTTTGTTTCTGTTTTTAAATCTTTGCTTAATTAACATAAAAAAGAACTGATCTCAACATTAGCTGCATCTTTTGGTAGCTCTGTCAGTGCTTATGGCTGCTAGGTAAAATTCCCAGTGTGGTGTTTGTATTTGCAATTGAAGAATTTGTGTACTGGAAGAGGTGAAGAGCCCTGTGCAGGGCCAAGAGAGCCACACATCTCCCTGGAAAGCTACCCTAGGAGCACCTGCCTGTGAATACCGTGACTCAAGTGACCCTGGTTTCCAGATCTGTTCTGAGCGCCACAAAAACAGGACCAACCTCACTCAGAAGTGCTCACTCTTTCCCAAGACCAAGATGCTTAAAAAGTCACTGAGCATTTGGCAAATGACCTTTATTGTCCTCACGAAGAATCCTGGAGCTTGTGGCACTGACAGAGCCTCTGCATCACAGACAGGTGGTGGTGGGGATAAGTGACAGAAAGAAGTTGTTTGTTCCCCTCTTTCCTGGGATTGGATGTGTACCATTTTTCCCAGGTTGCAGGGACCGCCTCTTGGAAGGATTGTGGCATACAATGTTTCTTTACACCTTGTTAAGAAAGCAACAATCATCAACCCTTGTTGGGCAGATGTATATGGGGCAGACCAGTCAGCAAGCTGTTTCCACCCCGAACCCGGACAACCTCAACACCCCTCACTGCAGAGCCTTACCGGAGCTGCAGCTCAAGCCCCAAAACAAGGCCATTCCCAAGCAGCTTGAGATCCCTGGGCTGTGGCTTCTTCACAGCTTGAAGTAGACAAATTCTGGAGAATATGCACTTGTGCTTAATAGCTGCCATGTTCCTGCTTCCTAATATGTGCTGTTTGGTTGTCTTCTGAGATGGGATGGATGGCCTTAAAGCATAGGCTAGCTGTTCTCCTGGGCTCTGAAGCTGCCTTCAGAACCGGCATTAAACCAGATTGTAACACTCCAGGCTTCTCCTTTGTATGTTTCCTGTTTCTTTCCCAGACAGGGAGGGTCTCCTGTAACTCAGGCTGACCTCGGACTCACTGTGTAACCAGAATAACCTTGAATTTCTGCTCTTCCTACTTTCTCCCAGGTGCTGGGATTGCAGGCATGGGGCCACTGTGACAGGCTTCATATATGCTGAGGTCCAAGCACAGGGCATAATGCAGACTAGACAAACATTCTACTTAGTGATCTACATCCTCAGCTCTCCCCTTGATATTTCTGATCATTCTTTAATCCCATGCAAATGTGTAGAGTCACCTATGCTGAAACGGTTACCAGACATATAGGCTATCATTTGATGTCTTCATTCCTTGAGAGAGAGCGCTTTCTTTTCTGTATTTATGGACTTTATTGTTGAGAATCACTGTCAACCTTTCTGCCAAATTAAAGACACTTGTGTCTCTGTTTCCACAGATGTTGGTCCAGAGTGAGTTCTTTGTCTTCACCTCTCAGGTCTGATCAGATCCTGGCCAACAGCAGATACTGAAGCTTTTTGATGCCTCAGAGATGGTTTGTCTCTGTACAGAGCAGGGAAGCCTGTCTTTCCTGCTCTGTAGTTGCCAGGCTGGTCACCCAGAGCTCAAGGGTAGTCAGGGTACAGGGTGGTAGGACAGAGTGCAGGCGAGTGACCAATATCTGTTCAGTCCAGTTCAGACCCCGAACATGAAAGCACAGACAACACTGAACAGTTATTTCCCTGAGGGGAGCTCTTCCCTGACAGTGGAGGTAGTGACTGGCCCTGTCGTGGTGGGTGTGTAGGGAGGAAGGATCCACCTGGTTTCCGAGTAATCCCACCCTTTATTAGCAAAGAGGCAGCTGATTTGGTCCTGGCTTCCTTATCTCTGAACATCTGCTGCCGCACTCACGCCAGCATCCAGAGGATTAGGTGCTCGCACACAATCTGAAAGTGCACTGAGGCGTCCAGGGGGGGCCCCCCACCCCATTCCCTTTACCAGGGACTTCCTTGTTTTAGGAGCTCTGCAGGCACAGTGGTGGCTGGCCAGGTGTTCCATTAACCTTTTTCATAGATCTTCCACTTTATCCCATATCACCAGAGCCCGTGGCTAAACAACACTTCAGGGTCGTACCAAAAGGCATTCAAAGCATCTTTAGAATGTGCAGAAAATTGGTGCTTTTCTGATGGACAGGCCTTGCCCCAGAAAGGCAGCTTCAGTTGTTTGCCATTGCCAAGAACACCAGAAAATCCCTGTAACTGCAGGGGCAAGGGCGTGCCGGCCCCGGGAGCCTATTGGTGCTTCATAGCTACTTCCTGGCCTGAGGGGTGGTTTTTCATTGTTAATGGATTATTCGTTTTATGATTGTTCAAGAGTTGAGGACAGGTGTCTCTTGTGTGTTCCTGACCACTCAGCTGCTTGTAGGAAGAGCTCTAGGCCCCTTTCAAACTGACATTGGCTGCCTTTGGGATTAAGACCTGTGGCAGCTTGTTACTGTCTAAGCCTTTGCTGGGCCCTGTCTGGGGAGGCAAGACTTCTGCAGGAGAGCTAGTTCAGCATAACTGTTTTGTTTTGAGACCGGGTTTTTCTGTATATCCCCGGCTGTCACGGAAGCCTCTGCCCCCCAAGTGTTGCAATGAGGTATCATTCCCAGCTTTTGTTTTGTTTTTACATGGGGGTCTCACTAGGTAGCCTGGCCTTCAACTAGTGAACCAGCTTTAACCTCCACAGTGTTGGGACTATTGTATGGGCTATCATTTCCTGCTTGTGTTGATTTCCCTTCCCCTTCTGGGGGAGGGCAGGGTCTTAGCTAGACTGACCTAAAACTGTCTATGTAGGCAGTGATGACCTTGAACTTCTGATCTTCCTCCTGTAGGAGTCTGGGTGTGCCTTGATACACCTGGTCTTCAGTGGTGCTCGGGATTGAACCCAGGGCCTCATATATGCTAGCTAGGCAAGCAAGCACTCTTAACTGAGCTGCATCCCTGGGTCTGTGCTGCTCTTAGAGAGCATCATCTGCTCCCTCCCCCGGAACATACACAGTGAGAGAAACTTCCTGTCTTGGCTTGGCTAGCACTTCAGGGCCAGCCAGGGCCTGTCATTAAAATTGCTGTTGGTCATGAAGGAGCCAACCCTGTAGCAGCAACTGTTGTGGCTGCTGGGTTCCAGATATAGGCTAATGCTGCCAGGCCCAGCAGGCCCTGGGCCACAGGAAATGGGGACACACTCCAGGGAAGCCATTGCCTGGGTTGGACGATGGCCGGCTGGCACTCTGGCCTCTACACACTACTATCTGGGTGTTCCTGCCCCTGCCACTCCTGTTTTGTCACCAAGGGCAACCCGCTCCTTTTATATCCTGGACAAGTGTGTTCCTAGTTGAACGTACGGAAGTTTGCTGTGTAGACATTGTCAAACATCCTCCCTGCCTCTGTGGGGTGGAAGGGGAAAGCGGGGCCTCCTGGCAAATCCAGCACTGTTCCCACACTCCACTCCCCAACTCCCTGGAGGATGCTCCAGGTGTGCTTTTGGGAAGTTGCCAAACAGGGCTGACTGAAGACTTGTCAGCCCCAGAGTTGCCTCTGGGTAGTTGGTGTCTGAAGGCTTTGCGATGGTGTTACATCCTTCCAGAGCCTGTTGCTGGTTCTCCAGATGAAAGAGGCCCCAGGTTGTGCTCAGTTGTCAGATTCCGGGAACGAGAGTGTACTATTCCTTCCACTGGGAGCCACAGTTAAGGCTGGAATGACTGTACCTAAAACCATTGTAGGGAAAGCTGTCCTAGTTCTGGCTGGCTCTCTGCTATCAGAATGTGGTCGTCTTACTTGCCAGCCCTGGCCATAGTGTTCTCAGCATCCACCAGAGGTTCTCCAGTGGGCACATCTGAGAAGAGAGCTGGGGTTGGGCCAACATCCCCTTTCTGAAGACTCATTACCTAGCCCCTGGGCCTCTGCACAGCATGCCTGGGTGATGCTTAGCATGTGTGTTTCCTAGATGCAGGCCCCATGCATGGGAAGCCCTTGCCTTGCTTTTCCTCCCTTTGTCAGCTGGCAGAGGTAAGTGTCTTTCCCAAGGGACATCATTTCTGTTTCAGAACATGCGCGCGCGCGCGCGCGCGCACACACACACACACACACACACACATGCAGGCACATGCACACACGCTATTCAGAGGCCGCAGATGTGTCATACATGTTTCCATTGTCAGCCTTAGATGTCAAAGCGTTTGAAGCCAGCTTTTTCTTAGTGATTGCAAGGGCAAGGTGGTAGCTGGATTGGAGCATGTTAAGTAAGGAAAAGAAAGCTTGTGCCTAGAGGCAGCCATGCATGAGTGGTCAGTCCTGAGTGGTTTGGATTGAAATAGGCCAGAGAAGGCAAAGCTCCGGGGCCTTTGTCCAATTTTCCCTTCAGCCCGTGCCAGGCTGTGCACCAACCCCCCTTCATAGGCACATGTTGCCTCCTCCCCAGGGGCTCCGGCCATCTCAGAATGGCGCCCTCCGGGACCCACAAGAGATTATAAACCTCTCATTGAAGAGGCTTTCGGCAAAGGGGAAAAGGCTGTAATTGAAAAGCTCCTTGGTTCTAAAGAAGAAACAGACCTGGAACAGAAAAGCCTTCATTTTTCTCTCCCTCGGCCAGTGTCAGGCATGCTCAGTTCCCCCATGCAAGTAAGCACACAGCCATGGAGCTTTGAGTCTCTGGGTCCAGAGCACGGAAGGACAAAGGCCATGACAGTCAGCTGAGCGTTTTTGCTCCATGCAGGATTCCTTTGTGTTTTTCTGTCTTTTGAGTCTCAGTATATGCCTGAGTGAGGGGGGGAAACCTGGACTCCTTCCTCTACCCCCTGAGTGCTGGGCTGATAGACCCCACTAGCATACCTGGTCTAGGTAGTGCTGGGGATTGAACCTAAGACCTCACAATGCTAGGCAAGCTCTCTCCTGAGTCATATCCTCACCTAGTGCTCTATCAGTGAGCTTCATTCTAGGCCCTAGTCTTTTTGGTTTAAATTGGGCATGGTGGCTCATACATCTAATCCCAGCTCTCAGGAGGCAGAGGCAGATGAATCTCTGAGTTCAAGACCAGCCTGGTCTACATAGAGAATTACAGGACATCCAGAGCTAGGTAATAGACCCTGACCCCCCACTGTGACCCCCCCTCCATTGAGATGCTAAATTGTTCAGGGAATTCTTGATTCTGAGTAGCTCAGACAGGCTTTGAACTTGGGATCTTCCTACCTGCCACAGAGCTAGGATTACAGGTTTGAACCATCGGATCTAGGTCCCTGGTGTATTTGTACACCACCCACTGCTGTCTGCTTCTCCCTTGGGCCCAGGTGGGACACTTCAGTCTAATAAATGCCTGGAGCTGTCTGCTGTCCAGCCGTCTGTCTGCAGAACGTTTGTCAGGCTCCAGGCACTAAACCACTTACACAGCTGGGAAGGAAGAGGACTCTATTGGGAAAGCAGCAAGAGGCTCGGGATTGTGCTTGAGACTGAATTCAAGGTTTTGTGCTGCTGTGTACACAAAGCCAAAGGATGCCTAGGAGAATCCTGGAATTTGGACTTCTGAGATGGGTGAAGCTTGTCCATCACACACTGGCCAGAAGGTATGTAGGCATTTGGGTGTCATTTCCCAGTTAGGATTCTGTTTCCACCAAGGGTCTCCAAGACCGAAATTCTGCAGATTATCCCTGCCAGAGACCATTGGCACCACACCTCAGGGTCCCATCCCCATTCCCAGGACGTCCTGGAACAACCTCACTCAACTTCTTTCCTCTTTTTATAGCTTTGACTCCTTGAGTGTTTCTCTGTAGAAAGTCAAAGGGACTACCAGGGTATTGTCCAGGAGTCTCCTCATTGTGTCAGCCATGGCACACATGTTGTCCAGGGCCACTACACCAGTAGCTTTGACACCCTATGGGAAAGCTGGAGTCCAGGCTCCATGTGCTCTGCAGTCTGCCTGTTCCTATGTGATGCTGGGCAGTGGCCTCCACCACACACACACTGCCCGGAGAGCTTGCAAAGGAGAACATGCCCACTGCTCAGCCTTCTCCCATAGGGGAGGATAGCATGAAGGATTTCCTCTAATCTCCCTTGAGGTGAGTGAGGCCCCTAGGGGTCTCAAGTCTGGCCAAGTCCTATAGCAGCTGGAGTAAGGGTTGCCAAAGACCCAGATCATTTCCATAATGAAATGCAGTCCCTGTGGCTCAGGAAATACAACTGAATTCTTGATTTGAGTCATGTCTAAGTCCTACCTTGACCTTGGACAGCCCCAAATATAAAGGGGTTGACAAAGATGAAAGTTCTTTGTACTCAGTTTCCCCGGTTAGAACAATGAGTAAGACCCAGAGGATAGTAAAGATCTGCTCTGACGTTCTGTGACTCGGTCGGGTTCCTGCATCGGTCAGGAAAGCCCTGCATGGGTGCAGACCTGTGCCCGGGCCTCAGGAAGAGGGGTATGTGGGAGCCTTGCGTTCTGTTGGCCACCAGTAACTGGAGTCGGTGGGCAGGCCCAAGAGCCCATGCTGCTAGGCGACCTTGGAAAGGTCTCTTCCTGGGTCCTCTGAGATCACTCAGACTAGATGTAGGGTTTGCTCTTGGTCCTCTTGCTGCCTTCCTGTAGTCTAGGGTGGGGAAGGGAAGAACCTATGGAAAAGCAGGGTGCCACTGACTAGTGGGCCTCTCTGTTCCGGCCCCGGCATCACCCGTAGCAGAGTGCCCCCCACGACTGTCCAGTCGCCCCGCTTGCCCCAGAAGTTGTACGAGGCTGTCGGCTAGAGCCCCCAGCACTGCCACTGTCTGGCTGTGCAGCCCTCAGCTTGTCCCTACGCCTCTCTGGACCTTAGTTTCCCTACCTGTTAGATAGGGGCACACAGTAGGGGTGGCCATCCTGTCGCTCCCGCGCCTGGGGCTCAGGCTCCGCAGTGAGGGGGGGAGCGGCGCCGGGAAGGAGCGATCGGCGGTCACGTGACGTCCCCCTCCCCGAACTGCGGCGGCGGTGGCGGCGGAGGCAGCGGTGGCGAGCGTGTCCCGGCAGAGCTGCAGCAGCAGCCGAGGGCACTGGAGTGCCGAGCCCAGGACGCCCCGGCCCAGGCCCGCGGTGAGTGTCTGCTCTGCGCAGGGGATCCAGGCGGGGAGCGGCGCTGCCAGGCTAGATGGCGGCGCGGCGGGGCGCGGCGGGGGACCCCGCGGGCACCAGCCATGCCGCGGGGCAGGCTCGGGTTCCACCCTTAGGTGCCCAAAGTCCTAGGCTCCATCACCCCTGTTACCCTCCGGAGGGGAAGGCGGAGAAGTGGGCACTCTGGGGAAAGGCCAGCCCTGCATCCCTGAGGGAAGGCACTCTGCTCCTCTGAGCAGGGAAGTGGCGGTCCTCTGGCCATCGCCCTGGGCCTTGATGTCCTTGCATCTCCAGGTACATAATGAATCCCGGCCTGTCCTAACCCACCACGAAGTGGGGCACTGGCGTCACGCAGTCCTTGTTGCCACCCCTGGCTCTGTTGGCTCTGAGGGTTGGTGGCGAATCCACTGGCAGTCACCACTATGCCCTACAGGCCCTTTGGGAGCCCTACTGATGTGACGGCTTGGTGAAGAAACCTTGCACCCCCTCCTGTGTGTGTGTGTGTGTGTGTGTGTGTGTGTGTGTCTGTCTGTCTGTCTGTCTGTCTGTGTCTGTGTGTCTGTGTCTCTGTGTGACCCCTGGAACCGTCCCTCTCCAATGCTTGACCTTGCGGGTTGCTGTGACAGCATAGGCCTGAGGTGGGGTTAGAAAGGACACCCCACCCCTTCTTCACATGGTATATTGGCATTTGTCCCGGTCTTTCAGTCCCCTCCCTGCCAAAGTCAGAGGGCCAGATACCTATTGACCTGTAGGAGAGATGGGGATAGAATCCTGCCAAGTATGAAGCAGAAGAAAGGCAAAGAGGAACTGGGGGTGAGCTAATCCCCCTTCCTCTCCAAGGGAGCTAATGCATGTGTAGTGCTCTACCAATCCAGGACCTCCTGAAGATGGTTGAGGGGAGAAGTTGCTCAGAATAGCGCTGGTGAGTGTCTAGGGAAGCTCAGAACCTCTAGGGCAGCAGGACTAGGTTGTATCAGGCCCTTGCCCTGTGGGTTCCCCTGTGGGACCTCAGCCTGACTCCAGGGTCCCCTGGCAGTGGATAGACCTGGGCAAGGAGTGGGCACGCCTTTTGGCCTTGAGGAGGATTCCAGGGTGACGACTAACCCACAGCGAGAACACCTGCTCAGTCCACCCTCTCTAGCTGCAGCAGCCTTCCTTTTACAGCAGGCTGAGGTCTCCATGACACAGGGGAGGGAAAAGGCTTGGCCATACTAGGTAGATTGTGCGTGGCTCTGAGGAACCTGGTGTTGGGGCTACCATAAGATATTTTTTTTTCTTTTTGAGATAGGGTCTCATTATGTAGCCCTGGATGGCCTGGAGCTTGATATGGTAGACCAGGTTGGTCTCGGATGAACAGAGGTCTGTCTGGTTCTGCCTCCTAGGTGCTAGGAGTAAAAGTGTCCATTAACACACCTGGCTAGTCAGAATTCTCCTGATCCACGGTGGAGATTACGCCAAGTGGAGGGCTCACCATGGTCTGTGGCCCTGTGCTACCTGTGGGGGAGAGAGGGGAGGTGCTTCTGGATGGAGATGGGGGTGATGGTGAGGAGATCCAGCATTTATACTTGCAGATATGCCCCCTTCCCATGGCTACGATGCTTCCCACCAGCTTTTGCCAGCTCATTGCTTCATCTGAGAAAAGCCCCCCCCTTCTCCCCAAGACATGTGCCTAGCATGGTCTCAGGAGCCCCTTGCTGTCTAAATATCACATTACGGGTCACAGCAGGGTCCTTTCTCTGGCCTTGTCTTTGCCTTGAAGTTCTCTTCTCCTTGGACTTCAGGGCACACATACCCCTCCCCCACAGCAGGCTCTGCACAAGCAGAAGATGAGGGAGGCCTAAGAGCCTTGCCCTCTGCTGCTGCCCCTACCCTGCTGTCATGCTTCAGAACAGAGAGACCCTTCAAGGGCTCCTGGGGCAGGTCACCCTTCCATGCCACCTGTCTGTCTCCAGGGCCTTTGTCACAGCTGTCAGACAGCTGAGGAGCCACATACGCTGGGCAAACAACCTCGCCCCTCACCCGGCCAGACACACACACACACACACACACACACACACACACACACACACACACCTTGACTCATGAATACTCTGAGACCCAGACTCAGGGGCACACAGGGAGACTCTACCCTGTCTGACCCCACCCACAAGAGCCACACCACCCCGACAGATGCCACCTCTGTGACCAAGAGGAAGCGTCTAGAAGCCTTCATCTGGGAGGCTTTTCTACCTCAGTGGCCTCCAGTGAGCTGACAGGATACACAAACATACAGAGAAAAACACGTGGAGGCCCCGCGCCCTTAAAAATGAACCTGGCAGCAGACATGTTGAGGCGCCCACATGGATACATGCTTGCACGCGTGCCTGGCATCAGCTTCCTGTGTGTGGGATGTCACTGCCTCTTCACCCTGGGCGGGGATGGCAGAGGCCCCTCTGAACTCCTCCCTCCCCAGCCAGCCCTCACCTTATTCCCTCTTTCTGCTTCCCATGAGCCCAGCTAGAGATGGAAGAACAGCCTTTGAAATGGCCTCAGGCTTTCAAGTTCATCACTTGCTCCTGTTTCTACCCGGCACTTACCTGAAGGACTGTTTGAGAGTCTCTCCCCTTGCCTGGCCTTGAGGGTACCAATCCACAGGTCTCTCCTCGGGCTTGGAACAGCCACAGCCCCTGCTTCCCTTTCTTCTGCTGCCTTGCCAAGTGCCTGGACATGTTCTCTTTTCTACTGCTCCCCTCCCCACGCAGAGCATGGGGCCAGCTGGGGTGAATGCAGCAGGGTCCCTGGATATCTCTGGTCACCTTTCCCCAAGGCAGAGAACTGCTAGGCTGAGCCCGGGCACCCTGGCACCCTGGCACACTTCTTAGAGGTTGGCATCGCTGGGAAGCTACCACTGAAAGGTGTTTGGGTAGGCTGAGGTGAGGCCTCCTGGTAGGGCAGATGCCAGGTTAGGGGCAATAAGGGGCTGTGGGTTCCATCATGCTCATTTTGGCCCCAACCCGGACAGCTGCAAGTGGGGATCTTCAGCCCAAGCTTGGCCCTTCCCCTAGCTGGGTGTGCAGCCAGGCAAATTATTGCCCCTCTCTGGACCCAGCTCCGGTTCTGGGAAGCAGCTTGGCCCAGCTGGGTAGTGAGGCAAGTCAGAGGTGTGAAGAAGCAGCCCCTCAACAATGAGGAGGGAAGTTTGATCATGAGAGGGCCCTGGCTGGGCATTTCCATGGGTTAGAAACTCTAGGTCTAGCCTAGGCCACCATAGGCTTTGAATTTCAGAGGTAGCAATCCCAGGAACAGACCAAGGAAGAGGGGATCCAAGGGCAGGAGGCTGCAGTTTTGTCTGCTTGCAGTGTGGATGTTCTTAGCCTTCAAGACAGGCTCTATTCCTGAAGACTGACATTTGGCAAGCAGGTGATTCTGCAAACAGGCAAGGAGTGGAATCTGAAAGGTACTGATAGGGAGGTACCCCAAGCAGAGAGGATCCCACTGCGATCCTTTTACATTGCAAAGCAGAAAACAAGACATCCAGTCTATCTACTGTGTCCCAGCACAGGGCAGAGGCCCTGCCACCCGCTCAGCAGGCATCTAGAACACCCAGACTGGGAGGACTGGGGAGAGCTGGGAGTGGCAGTCGCTGTCATATGTTTTACCATGCTTGTTGCTTGCAAAGAGGTTGAGGCTCAGAGTGCCTTGGCTGCAATGCCAACATGAGGCCACCCTCCTGTCAAGGTGAGCGAACCTGAGTCTGGTTTTTTTTTTTTTAGGTTTATTTATTTTATGTATATGGTGTTATATCTACATACAGAGATTACATTTGGGAAGAGGGCATCAGATCCCATTATAGATGATTGTGAGGTACCATGTGCTTGCTGGGAATTGAACTCAGGACCTCTGGAAGAGCAGCCAGTGCTCTTAACTGCTGAGCCAGCTCTCCAGCCCCCAAGTCTGTGTTTTTAACTCTCTGTTGACCAGTTGCATGGTTTGGGACATTTTCCTCCATCTTCCTGAGCCTCTTGTTTCTTTATCTGTAAAGCAGGGACGGTGGGTCGTTTTGTTTTTTAAATATTAAAAAGATTAACATAGATGGTAGTATATAGCTTTAATACCAGCACTTGGGAAACCAAGACAGGTAGATCTCTGGGAGTTTGAGGCCAACCTGGTCTACATAACAAGTTCAAGGCCAACCATAACTATGTAGAGAGACCATCTCCAAAAACAAAACCCCAATAAAATAAAGACAGAGGATAGGAACTATCAAGACTCTGAAATCTGATCCAAACTGGTTAGTTAGTGAGCACATTAGGAAGGCAGAGTCAGGAGGATCTTGAGTTCAAAGTCAGTCTGGGCTACAAATGGAGACCACTTCTAAAACAACAAATAATGAAAAATGCTGGACCCAGTGGCATGGGCCTAGAATCCTAGCTATTCAGGAGCCTGGGCAGGAGGAGTGAAAGTTCAAGACCTGTCTGAGGTACAAAATGAGTTAAAGGGCAGCCTGGGACACTGTCTCAAAATAAAAAGCAAGCCAGGCAGTGATGGTGCATGCCTTTAATCCCAGCACTTGGGAGGCAGAGGCAGGTGGATCTCTGTGAGTTCGAGGCCAGCCTGGTCTACAAAGCAAGTGGCAGGACATGCTCCAAAGCTACACAGAGAAATCCTGTCTCTCAAAATCTAAATAAAACAAAACAACAACAACAAAAAGACAAGAAGGCTCAGTGGTAGAGTATTTGCCTAGAAGATACTAAGTCTCTCCTGCCTTCTCCTCACTTTCCTTCTTAAAAAGACATTTGCTTATTAGTTTGCTTATGCATGTATGTGTATAGACATGATGTAGCACACACATGGAGAGCAGAAGACACATTGCAGGAGTCAGTTCTCTCTGCCCACCATGTGGGTCCCGGGAATCGAACTCAGGCTATCAGGCTTAGCAGCAAGCGCCTTTACTGGATGAACCATCTCACCAGCCCCCTCCCCCTTTTGTTTTCTTTTTTTCT